CAGGCTCAGCACCTCTAGCAGCACCAGAGTCAACAGCTACCTCGACAGGCTCGACTGCGTCTACCTGGGACACACCTGAAGGGGCAGGACCCTGAGGGGGGAGGGGGTCTACCGGGGGAGGACCTGGCGCAAGGAAGAGCGGCGACGGGGGGACGGGCGCAGTGCGGTAGGGGAAGAGACGGTAGTAAGGCACCGACTCGTCAAAGGTGACGTCCTGGGAGGACAGAACACGGCGCGAGGTGGGGTGGTAAAACTGCCACCCAGGCGCGTCAGGGGGGAAGCCAAGGAAGACGCAGGGAACAGCACGGGGGGACAGCTTGTCCGCAGACAAGTCGCGGACAAACGCTCGAGATCCCCAGACCAGAAACGCAGACGCATCGCCAACCTTCCCCGTCCACCGCAAGAAGGGGGAGGTCTCTGGCAAGGAGACCCGGGGCTTAAGGTTGAGCTGATGCGCGGCGTACTGAACCGCAAACAACCACAGAAAATGGGGGGCAGCCGCATGCATCATGGACGTACGAGCGATGTCCATGACCATGCCAATGCGGCGCTCAGCAATCCCATTTTGCTGTGGAGAGGCCGGAAGCGTGAAGGTCTAGCGGATGCCCTGTGCACGACAGAAGGCTCCCAGACGGGCAGAGGAAAACTCCCCGCCTCTGTCCGAGTGCAGACGCAGAACAGGAAAGTCCGAGCCGAAACTCTCCATGAGCTGGAGACGAGCTGCGCGGATCCAGTCGATAAACACCTCAGTGACGTCACCCTTGCTGCGCAAGGGGAAGGCTGAGGTGTAACGCGAGTAGTCGTCAACCACCAGTAGTAAGTACCGCTCGTGCCCCTGCCCACGGACACGGGCGGGGCCCCACACGTCCATGTGGAGGGTCTGTAGCGGAGCCTCTGTTGGAGGAAACTCGGAGGAGTGAGGGGCGGCGCGTTGTCGCCCCTCGACGCTGGGGACGCGAGTAGGGCCAGACCCGAGAGGGAGAGACCGAGGGAGACCAGAGACAAGGACACGGGAGGCCATGCCTCGGAGACGAGGCAGGGAGGGGTGACCAAGGCGGTGGTGCCAGAGGAGAGTCTGGTGGGACAGTAGACGACACGAGCAGGGAGCAGACTGAGGACCAGACCTGGACGCTGCAGCAAACACCTGACTCGACGCAGCTACCTGGGCAGACTCAGCAGCCGGAGGAGACTCAGTAGTAAGGGTGTACAGGCTCGACCCTGGCCGACGGGTGAACGTGGCCAAGTGTCGGCCTGTCCGAGCACACGTGCAGTGGGTAACTCGCTGACTCGCACGAGTGAATTGGTCAACCCCCCTATCTTGTAGGTCCGCTCCACTCACCAAGTTCGTAGAGAACGAGGGGAGGTAGAGACCTGACAGGGTGCCAGAGGGGGCTGCCGGGCACGGTAAGACAGTGGAGAAGCTAGCAAGGACAGGACCCCCAGAGGGTTCCGCCAAGGAGACTGCAACCGGCCGACTGAGCGGCGTAATAGTGGTGCGGTCTCGAAAGAAGGAGCGGGACGCACCCGAGTCAAGGGTGAAGGTGTGTAAGGCCTGAGCCGACGTAGTACCTGAGAGAGCAGACTCACCAGCACCTGGGGCAGCAGACGCACTAGCACCTAGGGTGGCAGACGCACTAGCACCTAGAGCAGCAGCCTCACCAGCACCTAGAGCAGTGGCCTCAATGCCCGGGTCAGGCGGTACACACAGGTAACAGTCACCCTCAACACTAGTAGTCACAGAATACATGGCAGCAAGGATAGCATCATAGTCAAGATCGAAAATGGCAACCCCCGCCCTAGACAGATCTCCCTAGCGAGGGATCTCTGACGCCTCAGGGAACTGGCGACGCCACGCGTCCGTCAGGCGACCGAAGCAGCGCTGGGTGGAGTGCGGGCCCCCGCACTGCTCACCACCTCGGTCGCCGGTACCGAGGACGTAAGTGTAGGGACCAGTACCCCCACCGCGCTGACGCGCAGCGTACCACTCACGAAGCTGCTGAGGGGACAGGGTCACACCACTCCGCTGCTGCTGGCGCGGACCACCACCTGAGCCACTCCTCTGCGCAGAGTCGCGACCCGCTCCACCACCGCCGCCGCCGCCGCCGCTGTCTCCGCCGCCTCCTCCACCTCCGCCTCCTCCGCCACCTCCGCCGCCTCCGCTCCCTCCGCCACCACCGCCGCCTCCTCCGCCTCCACTGCTGCCGCCGCCGCCGCCACCCCCGCCACCACTCCCACCACCACCCCCACCCCCTCCACTGCCTCCACCACCACCTCCACCGCTCCCGCCAACCCCTCCAGCGCCCTTGCCCCCCTTGCCCTTGCCGGTGCGGCGTCTCCCGCTAGGGGCAGACGCAGCGCCGACCGACTCGAAACCAACGAGGTCGGCCGCAGCAGCAGAAGCAACAGAGGGCAAGAGGGGGGAGGGGGAACACCCCTCAAAGACAGGGGTGCGAGGGTCACCACGAGAGGCTCCTACAGCGACGATGCTCTTCTCTGCTGCTAGGAGGCCCTTCTCGAGGAGGTCAACGATGAGAGTGGTGGGGCAAACTGAGAGGAAGTGGTCCCTGACTATGCGAAGAGAGTCAGGGAGCCGAGTGACTATGTAGTAGAGGGCGATGTACATGGGGGGGGGGTTCTTGGCGCAGAACTCAGCAGGAAGCGCAGCGCGGTAGGGAGTGTCACTAGTGCGGAGGTGCGTAATGAGGTCAGCGACTGTGGGAAAGGCAGCAAGGTCAGGGAAGAGGTACGGTAGCATGAGGCGACTTAGTGCAGCAGTGGCAGGGGAAGAGTAGCGTGCAACTACAGCGTCGTACAAGGTCTGAGCACTCTTGTGCTGGCTTAAGTGTGCACGCTCAGTGGTTGGTAAGTGGCGACGCACAGCAAGGCGAGCATCAGCATCGCGTGTGGCCCACTGTGAGCGAACAGTGCTGTCAGCAGTAGCAGGCGGGGCAGGAGATCACCAGAGGTGAGATCGAACAGAGAGAGTCCGTCTGCCCTATCGCACTGGAGAAACAGCTGGAGGTTATCGACCCAGACCTCAAAGTCAACGGCACGGCCCTCAGCATCAAAAGTAAGGACACTGGGGGTAGCCATGACTGCAGTGGCCTAGTAGGGAGTGAGCTCACCAGTCCGGGGAAGGAGGGCCGGGGCGCACCGGTGGGAACAGCAGCGGCTCGACAGTAGGGCGGCTCGGCGGCTCGGCGGCAGGGCGGCTCGGCTGCTGGGCGGCTCGGCTGCTGGGCGGCTCGGCGGCAGGGCGGCTCGGCTGTTGGGCGGCTCGGCTGCTGGGCGGCTCGGCGGCTCGGCTGCTGGGCGGCTGGGCTGCTGGGCGGCTGGGCTGCTGGAGTGAAGCGCGCTCCGGGCAGGAAAAAAAATCGTGGTGGGCCCTAGGTAGCGTTCCCACTTGGGAACCCGCTCGATACCATGATAAGAAACGAGGAATGAATGCATTGAGCAGAATGAGGAGTACAACTAGTAAACCCTAAAGTGTTGTACCCATATGAACTGCCCCACTACAGCCTACACAGACTATAGCATATATGCCTGACAGATACACGGCAGGGAACGACAAAGGAAGCTCCGCTCTACTTAAGCCCGCCGGCATACGAGACTACCAGAAGAAGCTGGGATGTCTTCTCTTCGCAGCCGTCACCTGTCGCCCCGACCTCTCATACTCCGCAAGCCAGCTCGCCACCTACCTCAAGAAGCCTGAAGTAGAACATCTGGCGGAGCTCGACCGCGCTTTTCACTACTTCGTCAGCACCCCAACGATCGGTCTAACTTACTACAAGAACGCAACCACACCGACTAAGTTAATCGGCTACGTCGACGCTGATCACGCTGGCGACTCCGACAATAGGCGCTCTCGCACCGGCTACATCTACCGCCTCGAACCTATCGGACCTATCTCTTGGCAATCGAGCAAGCAGGAATTAATTGCTCTCTCGTCAGCTGAAGCAGAATATATTGCACTCTGCTCAGCCACCAAGGAAGGACTCTATCTTCGCGAGCTGCTGGAAGAAGCGAAGTTAGCCGAGTTACCCAACTTCACCCTGTTCTGCGACAACCAGTCGGCAATTCGCATCGCCAACAAGAACGGCTTCACGAACAGGACGAAACACATCGCCCTGCGATATTTCTTCGTGAAGGACGAGATCGAGAAGGGAAGGCTCGAGCTGTCATACTGTCCCACGTCCGAGATGGCAGCTGATTACCTGACCAAGAAGCTCGGAAAGCAGAAGTTCGAATACTGCATGCTGCTGACTGGACAGAGCCACGTCAGCGACACTCCAGAAGCGAAGGGGAGTGTTGGAAACAATCGGTCCTAAGCGCCTCTGTCGTGTCGAAACACTAAGACACAAAAGAAACGAAGTATAACGAATCACCGGCGAGTCAACCCTCGGAGGTTGAAAGTAACTGTTGGAGGTTACGCGAAGGTCAGCGACCTTTGACCTGACAAATACAGCGCGACAGCAAGGACACACAACTGATTCGCTACAGAGCAGTTGCCCGAGTTGTCACTGTTTCAAACCACAACAGCAATACAGTTATAACTGCATCTCTTCGTATTCCTTGTACTCATATAAACCTGTATCCACCTGTTTTAATCAACTTACTTTGCCCTCACATACTAGCGCAAGGTGGTTCACAACCCTTTAATCAAAGGCTTCCGCTACTACACCAACTCTACCCAGAGTTCACCCCTGCAAAGATCCTAAGGGTTTTTCAGCCCAACATTATTTACCACGTTTGTCCGTGTGCCTTCGTGCAGGCCTTTTATTCAGTCCCAGAAACGGCTCGGGAACCCTATTCTGCCAAGCCCCCCGAAGAACTCCTTTGAGACCAAAGCACAGGCTTATTTGAAATCCACGAATAACAAATACCAGTCTTCATCGCCATTGCAGGCCGCGTCAATAATTAACCTGTACTGCTGAAGTGTTTTGGCAGTGCGGCCGTGGCGCCCGACACATTCTATGCAACCACACGCGCCATATAGATTGTCAACACGATTCTACAGCAGGGTCAGCATCGCGTTCTTTCACAGCGAAACTGCTCCTGTCACAAGCACCATGCGAAGCAGAAGCACTGCCGTGGTGCTGATATGGCAGGCGCAGCAGTTGAGGCACGTGGTATGACGCATGGGAGAGCCTGTGGGCCACAGGAGGACTCGGCATGAATGCTGCTCCTGCCTCTGCTCCTGCCTCGGCTCCTGCCTCTGCTCCTACCCTTCTCCTGTCCCCTAACCCTGGACCCACCACATCCCCTGCTTTATCTGTATTGTCTGCTGTCTCTCCTTCACCCTCGTTATAAGCTCCCTCGATGACAGCAGGAAAATCATCCTTGTGCGTGTTGCTAAGAGTGTGGCTGCGAACAAGGATATCCGTACCATCTGATAGGCTGATCTCTTCTTCAAGAAAGTCAGGGCTCTGGTAGGTAGCAGTGCCCTCCGAATCATCAGCACAGGGAAACTCGGAGGTTTCACACTTGCTAGCAGATGTTGAGTCAGCACCCACGGATGCAATAGCACCCTCAGCAGCATTAGCACCCTCAGCATCCTCAGCAGCACTCTCAGCAGCGTTACCTGTATCCATGTCGAAAGAAGCACTGGCAGCAGGGACTTCGAAAGATACAGTAGCCACAGCTGCACCAGCTCCACTGTTACTCTGCTCACCCTGCTTCTGACTCACCTGCCCACCTTGCTGCTCCCCCTGTTGCTCCCCCTTTTGCTCCCCCTGTTGCTCCCCCTGTTGCTCCCCCTGCTGCTCCCCCTGCTCCTCCCCCTGCTCCTCCCCCTGTTGCACCCTCTGATCCAACCCCACAAGTGGCGCCCTCCAAATAATGCCTCCTACGAGCGAGCCAGCTTCAGCGGCTCCCTCAACTGATTCACCAGCTGCACTGACTGCCACTGACAGCACAGCAACACTGGGAGACCTCTCACCGTCCACGGCGAAGCAAGCGAACCGATTGAACACGCCCTCAGTCATGTTTTGAACAAGCCCTTGCAAAGAAGAGCCAGCACTGCCGCCCCCACTGCTGCTGCTCCACCTGCTGCTGCACTGCGCCCGCCACATCTGTGGCTTCAACTCCGCCCACGAGTCACACTGAAGCGAGGCGACTTGTAACGAGGAGGCTTGTAATGAGGACGGGTCGGGGTAATCAACGAGGAGATTGATGGCGGAGGGTTTTTGCGCAGGGCCGATAACACGGATGTCGTAATTCACCACCACATGGCCGTCCCTGAAGGAAAGTAGATCAAGAAGCAAGGGAGAACAAAGAAACGGTATCTCAGGCACCTCAACGATGTCAAATACCGTGACAATCCCTTAGGCGCCTCAGACATGTCGTGATTCAGCACCACGTGACCAGCCCTGAAGAAGACAAGAGGAACAAAGGGAACCAAAAAATGCTAAACAGGGTGCTGCTTGGACTCGTCTACGAAAAGTTGCTCCTAAGAATATGAAAAAAGCGCGCGAAGGAGGAGAACTAGTAGCAAGGAGCTGCACCTGCAAGGAGCTGCACCTGCAAAAGCTGCTGAGCTCAAAAGTTTCGGGGTAATCCTACTGAATCCACACTGCTTCCCCAGTATTTGAACAAGACCTCTTTTACGTTGTCGTCTCAAGCAAGAAACAACAATGCCGCGAGCGAGTTTTGAGAATTCCCACATATTCAGGTCGTTGTATCTTACTTGAAAGCCCCCAGCATAAACGCCCCTCCACGCATAGCCCCTGATAGCCCCTCCCCCAACTCCCCCCTCTCCCCCATCTTCCCCATTCCCCCCTTCAGGCGCACTTCCAGGCGGGGGTCCTGTGGGGGGTAGCGCGGAATGATGATGCCTGTGGTGGGAGGGGGGAAATGGCCGGGCGAAGGACGAGGTGAGGAGGAGCGGTTGGTTAGGAGGGATGGCAGGGATGGCAGGGATGGCAGGGATGGCAGGGATGGCAGGGATGGCACGGATTGGGTTTGTTGGTGGAGTAGACGAGGGACAACAAGGGGATGGGGTGCGACACAGTATGCGCATACAGTGGGCGCATGGGGAAAATCGCATTGCCGGCCAAGTGAGGTGCATGCAGCTCATACTGTGGCTCATTGGATGAACAAAAAAAGGGCGAAGTCGGGGAGGAGGGGGGGTGGGGGGAGAGGGGGGGAAACGAGCTCATCGTACTGTGGCTGATTTGCAGGGTGTTTTCGAGAGTTCTCAAAAACACCCTGAAACAACGAGCTGCGCCGTACTGTGGCTGATTTGGTGAACCAAAATAATGGGAGAGTGGGGAGGAGGGGGGGAGTTGGGGGAGGGGGGGGACGTTGGGGGAGGGGGGGGAGAGCTGGTACATGACAGTACACACGGGTTCTCCGTAGCGCTCCCATTTTGATCACCATGCCCCTCATCCGCCATTCTTACAGTCATGTCCTCCCCTCTCCCGATTCTATCATACCCCTCATCCCCACTGACCACCACCACAGCAGCACGCATGCACGCACGCCATACACAGTCAATAGAAGGGATAGAGGGATAGAGCTCACCACCACTTCCACTCCCCACACAATAAGAGGGATAGAGCTCGTACCGTGGCTGTACTCGCGGCTTCTCTGTAGCGCTCCCAACAAATCATCGTGCCCCTCCTCCCCGCCTTCCACCACAGCAGCAGCGCTCACGCCATACCCTGCCGCTGCATCACTCCCCTCCCCCACCGCTGCACTATCCTCCCCACTCCCTCCCCCCTCCCCCACCGCAGTTAGCATGTCTTCCAGTGCCCTTCCCTGCCGCGCATCCACCCCTCTCATCCTCCTCTCCCCTGCCGCCTCCCACACGGATGGTGTTGTTGCCACCCACTGGCACTCAGCCGTTACCCCGCATAGGACCAATGGCGGCGCTCCACGTGGCAGCGAGAGGAGGAGGTTGCTTGGAGGGGAGTCGGCGCCAGCGACGGCGGCACCGAAGCGGATGGTGTAGGCCGGGGCCGTGCCTCGCGATATGGCCCTGCGGTATGTTGGGGAAGAAAAGCGAGAAAGGGGGGAAGGAGGGGAGGGAACAGCGGAGGGTAGGGGAATGAGCGGAAGTGTTGGCGGCACCGACGCGGATGGTGTAGGCCGGGGCCGTGCCTCGCGATATGGACCTGGGGTATCCAAGCAGGAGAAAGGGGAGTTGGGGAGGAGGAGAGGGGAAGGCGGAACGGAGGGGAAGAGGTTGGTGGGAGGGGAGTGGGGGTCAACGGCGTCACTGAAGCGGATGGTGTAGGCTGGGGCCGTGCCTCGCGATATGGCCCTGCGGTGTTCGGGAACAGATAATAGGGGGGAGAAGAGGGGAGGGGGGAGCGGAGGAGAGGAGGGGGGGAAGGAGGGGAAGAGGTTACTGGAAGGGTCGTGAGCGCCAGCGACGGCGGCACCGAAGCGGATGGTGTAGGCCGGGGCCGTGCCTCGCGATATGGCCCTGCGGTGTTCGAATTAGAGAACGGGGTTGTGGGGGGGGAGGAGATGGGAGGAAAAGCGGAGGGGAGGGAAGTGGGCGGCAGTGGTGGCAGCACAAAAACTGATGGTGTAGGCTGGGGCCGGGCGTCGCAATTTGGACCTTTGTTGTCCGGGAAGAGAAGGGGCGTGGGGGAGAGGAGGGGAGCCGGGAGGGGAGGGGAGCAGAGGGGGAGAGGAAGGGAGACGGGAAGTAGGGCACTGGGGAAGTGGAGGGGAGGGGGGGAACGAGGGTAGAGGGGAGAGAAAGGGAGAGGGGGATGAGGGTAAGGAGTATTGAGAGAGGAAAGAAAGCAGCTGGAGGATTTAGCTCTCGCGAGAGCTCTCATGAGTCATTGGGAGGCGGTTGATGCAAGCAATAAATTTCGCGGAAGGAAAAAAATGGTGGAGGGAGTAAGAACCATGTTACGCAAAGGGAGGGAAGGGAGGGAAGGGAGGGAAGGGAGGGAAGGGAGGGAAGGGAGGGAAGGGAGGAAGGAGAAGGTAAAGCCGTGCAATAAAAACAATACGAGATGCGGCATGCCAGTTAAGCAGAGTGTCCTTTACCTTGAGACGGATATGCTTATAGTGCCTCTCATTCCACGGGCGCTCAGCAACTGGGCGTCGAAGTGAGCTGCAAGGGGAGCATCGTGGGGGAGGCGCGGAGCGAGGAGAGATGGGAGAGGGGGGGAGAAAAGAGAACGGAGCGTGGGAGAAAGGGAAGAAAGGAGAACACAAAATGATTTTAGTGCCTCTCACTCCACGGGCGCTCAGAAGCCAGGCAGCGTAATGAGCTGCAAGGAGCCCCAGTGGGGCGCGGGGGAGCGAGCGAGGAGCGTGGAAGAGGGGGATGAATGGAGAATGGGGAAGTGCGAGAGCGAATAACCAAAAGAGTAAGGGGAAAGGGAAAAGGAAGGAGCGAGGGAGAGTCGGGGCAAGGGAGCGTCGGGGTACGAGAGTGTGAAGCAAGGGAGTGTGGGGAAAGGAAAAGATGGAGAGGAGGCGGGAAAGAGGAGAAGTAGACAAAGAGGAAGGTTGAAGAGAAGAGTGAGAAGTGTGGAAGAGGCAGAAGGATCCTACTGCAGATGAAAGCAGCACGAGAAGATGCGGTCTTGCTGCAAAAGAGACAAGAGACACACGAGAAGCAACAGAAACAGAGGAAACAGCAGACAACAGAAACAGAGGAAACAGCAGATAACAGAAACAGAGGAAACAGCAGACAACAGAAACAGAGGAAACAGCAGACAATAGAAACAGAGGAAACAGCAGACAACAGAAACAGAGGAAACAGCAGACAACAGAAACAGAGGAAACAGCAGACAACAGAAACAGAGGAAACAGCAGACAACAGAAACAGAGGAAACAGCAGACAACAGAAACAGAGGAAACAGCAGACAACAGAAACAGAGGAAACAGCAGACAACAGAAACAGAGGAAACAGCAGACAACAGAAACAGAGGAAACAGCAGACAACAGAAACAGAGGAAACAGCAGACAACAGAAACAGAGGAAACAGCAGACAACAGAAACAGAGGAAACAGCAGACAACAGAAACAGAGGAAACAGCAGACAACAGAAACAGAGGAAACAGCAGACAACAGAAACAGAGGAAACAGCAGACACAAGAGATTCCAGCGGTGCGTGGCCTCACCTTCCCCCGTGCTGCTGGCGAGCGCGAGTGACGGCAGCACAAAGGCGAGAAGCGCTGCTGCACGCACGAGCGACGGCAGGTGAGAAAGAGGGGTGGCGGGAGGGAGAGACGAAGACAGGGCAGGCAGGCGGGAAGCAAGGCAGTCAGGAAACGGGCAGGGAAGGAAACAAGGCAGTCAGGAAACGGGCAGGGAGGGAAGTAAGGCAGTCAGGGGAACGAGAGAAGAGAGGGAGGCAGAGAGGGGTGCAGCGACGGGAGAGAAAGGATTACCCGACTGGAGAGAGAACACGCGCACGAAAACAGCACCAGCGAGGGGGGCTAGTGGTACGTTGAAACTTCGGGGATTACCTACGGCAGTGATAGGCGCGGCTCGGGATCTCGAGGAGCGTTGACCATCGCGTTGACTTTCACGGGAATCACTCATCGTGCGTGCCTCAAAACACCCACGAGGTACTATCGGAGGTCACAACAGCAACTCAACAGCGGTAGTAGCGCGGCGCGGCAAGTCGACTCCCTCGAACAAATTACTACTGCGAGGTCTCTTTGAATGAAACCTCAACTCAAGTTGATCACATAAGGAGAGCGACGGTCACAAGTAGTACCTCTAAACTGTGTGACTCCTCTTACGCCCGTCAAGTTGAAACCTCTGAGCTGAAAGTCAGCCGGGTGCTCTTTTGAGGCGCCTAAAAAATCTGCGGCGGCGCGTGCGTTCCTCTACTGAATGAAATCCCGCCAGAATCTCAAATGTCGCTGTCTGGAAGTGGAAATAAGCGACAATCGAGAATGCTCGCAAGGGGTGTACATTCTAGTAATACGTTGCAGGTTCAGTCGAGCTACACGGTACCAGCAGCTTACTTGCGACGAGCATGCGAGCTCCACAGCGAAGGTCGCATGTCGCCGTCGCCACCGTGAGGTCGCATGGCGTCGCATTCTGTCGCAGGAATCCAGAGATGGATTTGCTAGCTCACGGAGCATTGTGACTTGTGCCCGTCCACTGGGAAGGTGAGGGCCGCTCGTCGCACTATGCATTGCACAAGGCGCATACGTGTTCGCAAAATTAGGTTAAAGTATGGTATCACGGAAAACGCCTCCCCAAGCAGCGGTGAGGTCGCTGCGCGCGGCGACCCACCGTTCCAGCTGCACACGGCGGGAATTCTCGAGACGACCCGTAGCGCAAAGCGCGCCGGAAATGGTACTCCGAACCGCACTTAGAGGAAGCAGTGGCGTTACTAGTTACTGGTGCTGTAAGTCTAGTACATCTGCAACGCTTCGCCAGCATGTTTCTTGCCTCACGCAAGGCTGTCGCGCCGCGAGGTATGCTGTCGCGACACGCAATTCCAATAAGATCCACAATCCTACCCTCAATACCCAATATGCGGCCGCTAGTCCCGTTTGTGAGACGGAAAATTCCACGTAATAGAGTCAGTACTGTAGCTGTGCGCGTGCTGTTGTGCGAATACTGTGCCGTCATTCACGGATGGTTACATAACTGCCGCTATAGCATCGGTGGATCGATATGACAGCCATACGTTCGGTGGGTTTACGCTACAGTAACGATAGACCAGCCATAGCCTCACTGGAAGTTGCTGGATCGATATGCCAGCCATGATACGCTACAGTAAGATAGAACAGCCATAGGTTCGGTGGGTTTAGAACTTTAGATGGATAGGACAAGCACAGGCTTTTGGGATATGAATCTATGCTTGACAGCCATAGCCTCGCTGACAGCCATAGGCGCGCGTCGCTTTCCAGCCTAGCCAGCGATCGCACAACCTCTGCCGCACGAGGCAGGTTGTGTCAGAACTTGTGTCGCAATGGTGAGTGGCGAGATTTGCTCCAAACCCTTGTTTGGGGATTCGTTGCTGCACACGTGGCTACCATTTGCTCGAGTGGTTCTCATATTCAGTGATAATTGCTCGAGTGGCCTCGCCTGTGGATTCTCAACGTCTTTTTTTTAGAATGAACATTACCCTTCAGGGATATCTATTCTCGAAACTTCTGTATTGGTTATTGCGCGATCTTTTATATCCGAAATTATGTTCGTGACCCTATATGACCGCCCCTGATTGGACGCTCATATAATCGACCAATCCTGCGCGGCCATTAATGGTCGCGCGCATCATATTTTAATGCCCGATCATATATTTCCGCAGTTATAAACTGCAATGCCCTTAATGACCACGCATGATTGGTCAATTATATGCGCGGTGCCTTTTTTTGAATTGCGCGTCCAATCAGGCGCGGTCATATAGGGTCACGAACATAGATTTTGGATACTGAAGATCGCGCGGTAACCAGTACAGAAGTTTCGGGGATAGAAACCCGTGTAGGGTAATGTGACGGGTTAAAAAAAGCCAATGGGAATCCCCTGGCAATGCCACTCGAGCAATTATCACTGAATTTGAGAACCACGCGAGCAAACGGTGGCCACGTGGGCAACGCTGAATCTCCAAACAAGGGTTTGGAGCAATTCTCTCGTGAGTGGCTCTTGTGCCTCCAGCACCCGTGATGGCGGGCGCATCGCGGGTGCAACGATGTGAAGGATTCTTGTGGTCTGGCGAAATCTCGTTGCAATTCGTTAAGCATGTGGATATAGTATATCCAAAATCTTTTGCCGATATAATATACCTGTAAAGCCCTTGCTGTCAGCTGATCAAACTATTTTCAATCCGCAGTGTTTCCAGCCATTGTCTCTGTATTGTAACATGGGATGAGTTCAGAGGACATGCATAAATAATTGCTTCTTGGTATGTGCCCAAATTTCTGTAGGTTTTCATAAACGGCATTCCTAGGTGTAAAGGTGTCTGGGAGCAAGTACTCAATTATGTGTACAAGTAGGGAAATGATGGCGTTAGTGACTCCAAACATAGTAACGAAGAAGGTGGGAGGAAGCACTGGATACAAGGAGAGGGACCCATGAAGGGAATGGTAATTAACACTGCGCATGGCAAGAATTCTATCCTTGAACCAACTCTACTCTTCTGGAGTCAAAGTTAACTTGTCGTTGACCTTGTTCTTGGTGCCGACTGTGAACTCATGCTCAATGAGTGCAATACCTTCAAATGGATTTTGTGATAAATCATCCACGTTCATTTGTTTCTCAGGCTCCTCTTCCACGTCTGCTTGGAAATCTGATCCGACAAGAGTACGAATGCCATCGTAGTATGTACCAAACCGCGATGGAGCGAACTTTATTCGCTTGCTGATGCGTGTGGCTGCAGCATGCGGCTCTCGGCTTCGGCAGGAACTTACTCCATCATCCTTGACCCACATTCTTCTTCTTTTCCGCTTTGGCTTCTTGTCCTTGTCTTCTTCACTTTTTATGGCTGAGCATCGGTCCATGGGCTCTGAAAGACTAGTAGCGGCGTCCATTATAAGAACCGATGTGAAGCGTGTTGCTCACTCTCTGAACACAGTAAACACGAATGCGAGAAAGTCCGGAAGGCGGGAAGCAAGAAAATCAATGCCAGCTATTTCCGCAAGCTTCTGCGTGAATGTGCTGGAAACAGTGGGATGGGAAAAGCGGGATGACGTATATTCTCTGACGTACGATGGGAAAAGCAGGAACGGCGTATTCTAGGAAGTGAAATGGGAAATGCAGGAATCGCGTATTTTAGGGAGTCAAATGGGAAAGCAGGACTAGCGTATTTCTGAAGTAGAGGAATGAGTGAAAAAACAAGTGACGAGATAGTGGTTCTGTGCGATGGCATGTGCAGTCAGGCCGTGGCTTGTGCTGGGGTCGTTTCGCGAGCGGGGCGAAAATACTGACGACTCGTAACACACAAGAACTTGTTTCGTGCAAATGTAATCAGCGGCCAGCAGCAAGGCGAAATCATCGACCCTGCTATCCGACCGTACACACCTGTCTTTTTTCACCATCAGATTTCGCAGCGACCGAACCAAACCGCAAATTAGCCCATTGAAACTGCACAAATCTCGAGGTTCAAAGAGCCTGCTGTACTTTCACATGATCCTATCCCAAGCACTCAGTTTCTGCATCTTCGTAATTTCTGGGAGGTTATGTTCCTTCTCCGCAGCTCGCAATCCACGACACTAGCCTAAGAGCGTGTATTTGAACCGGTCTTCGTTCCTCTCATCTCGGTCACCGCCGCCGTTTGTTCCAGTCGGTAACGTTCACCGGCGCTGCGAATCATGACGAAGCGCACCCTCGAGCTTGTCGTGCCCGTGGCTCCCCAGCATCGCCTGGACGAGGTGGCCGTGCTGAGCTACCTCAAGCAGCACGTCAGGAACGTGCCGGCGAACGCCGACGCGCTGAAGATATCGCAGGCGAGCCATCCATTTTCTTTGTCGAATTCGATTACGCAATTTCTCACAGGAGCTTGTATTAACAATCTAAAATTCTCGAGTGATTTTTCGCCGCGGTGAAAGAACAAGGTATTCGCGTTCCATTCGACTTCCCACCATGATCGTTCGTCCTTCCTGCGCTTCCCATCCAGTCAGATAAGCGCAGTCGTTACCACTGTCTCATGTGTGCATCATTTTCCTCTCCGTCCTCTCTCTTTCTCTCCGCATCGCAGTTCGGCCATGGTCAGTCCAACCCCACTTACCTCCTGGAAGTGTCTTCCGCTCATCATGGCTCCCAGCCCGCCAGATTCGTGCTCCGAAAGAAACCCCCTGGTCACCTGCTCAAGTCCGCCCACGCCGTGGAGCGAGAATTCCAGGTAACCATAACCTGCTGCAGCAATTGATTGTTCACAAAGCTATCACTCCATCAGCTCTCATGCTCCAAAGAAACTGCTGAATCACTTGCTCAAGTTCACGCAGGTCGTGGAGCGAGAATCCCAGGGTAGCAAGAGGCCGAAGTTCTCCTTGTGCTATGCTTTGACCCACCAAGGTTGTGCTTTGAGCGAAACCTTTTCGCGAGGAAATGTGAGGAGGGAAACGAGTCAAAGGTGAAAGCGCAAGTCACGCAGAGTGCCATTAAGCCAAGCATTTGCTTGTCTCTATACCAGTCTCTCTTCCTTGGTACCCCCAAAATGCCTGCTAATCACCACTCAAATTCAACCCACCGGCACTCCCCATCGCCCCAGGTCCTGGCAGCGCTGGGCTCACAGGCTGGAGGGGCAACTGTGCCCGTGCCAGCAGTGCACGCCCTCTGCACCGACCCCTCCGTTATAGGCACGCCCTTTTACATCATGGACTTCGTCCCTGGTCGCATCTTCACCAACCCTTGCCTCCCTGTGAGCCCCTCGCCTCCCTGTGAGCCCCTCGCCTCCCTGTGAGCCCCTCGCCTGTTACTGTCAGCTGCATTTCTCCTGGTTTTTGTGCCTTCCCGTATACAGTGGTCATGGTTTCCGACAGTGGTTTAGTTTCACTTGGTTTAATGCTTCCATCTAATAGTGATTAATTTCAGCTCCTGTTTGATCGCTAAGGCACTCTTTCCTTGCTGGATCTCACTTCCGTCCTTCTTTTCTTTCTTCCCCATCCACCCAACCAGGATCTACCACCTGCCGCCCGGACGCAGATCTACACCGCCATGGCCGGCACCCTTGCCGCCCTGCACTCCGCCCGCCTGCCCCAGCTACAAAAAGATGGGTTCGGCCGCCCGGACAGCTACTGCCGGCGGCAAGTGGAGCGGTGGGCAAAGCAGTACGAGGCGTCAATGAAATCCATAGGGGAGGAATTTAGGGAGGAGGATGGGAGGATGAGGGGGCTGATTGCGTGGCTGAGGGAGAATGTGCCCGGGGAAGATGCAGCAGCAGAGGGGGTGATGCGAGGCGTGGTGCATGGGGACTTTCGGCTCGATAACCTCGTGTTTCACCCCACAGAGGTGCGGCAAAGCAGTACGAGGCATCAGTGAAATCCATAGGGGAAGAGTTTAGGGAGGAGGATGGGAGAATGAGGGGGCTGATTGCATGGCTGAGTCGGAATGTGCGTGGGGAGGATGCAGCAGCAGAGGGGGTGATGAGGGGCCTGGTGCATGGGGATCTTCGGCTCGATAACCTCGTGTTCCACCCCACTGAGGTGTGCGCACTTGAGTCTTGGCTTATGTCACAAAAGAAAGGAATCAGTGTTTTCTTCTTCTTGCCTGCGTGTGGAGAACCGTGTGTGGCTTGCATTGCTTATTATTAGGGCCCTCTTCTTGTTTTTGCCACCTTGTGCCCACTTTCTCATGCTCGTTGTGGGCTTTCTCTGCTTGGTTGGCAGCCGCGAGTGGTGGCAGTACTGGACTGGGAGCTCTCGACCCTGGGAAACCAGATGTCTGACGTCGCGTACTGCTGCCTCGTAAGTGATTAACCAGATGTCTGACGTCGCGTACTGCTGCCTCGTAAGTGATTAATCCCGAGCTGACTTCTGAGAATTCTCCCGAGTGACTTCCATATAGCCCTGAATCTACTTAGCAACCAGATGTCTGAGGTCGCGTACTGCTTCTTGGTGACTTGGAAATTAGATGTCCCAGGGGGCGTGCTGCTGTCTGGTAGGTGGTAAATGAGGTTGGCTTGCCACGTGTTCCAAAAAACGAAAACTTCAGCTGTACCTACCTACCTACCACCTGCTGCTTCTCAAAAGTCATACCAACTTCAGCTGTACCTACGTACCTACCACCTGCTGCTGTCTCAGCCGTGCCCATGCTTCCCTTTCTCTGCCTGGTGCTCCTCCTTTCACTCAAATTCTCCCGTCTATCTTCTCCCTTCTCCCTTCTCCTTCTCCCTTCTGCCTTCAACCTAGCACCGCCCATCCCCATGCCCCCAGCCATACCATCTGCCGCCATCTCAGCCTGGGAGCCATGCTGCCATCCCTGGGCATCACCCAACTGCCCGTGCGCCTCCCTTCACACCCAGCTTCTCCCTTCTTCCTTCCTCTCTCCAACACCCCACCCACGCATGCCCCAGCCATACCACCTGCCGCCATCCCAGCCGGGGGCCATGCTGCCATCCCTAGGCATCACCCAACTGCCCGGTGGGCCTCCAGCAGGATCTCTGCCCGGTGGGCCTCCAGCAGGATCTCTGCCCGGTGGGCCTCCAGCAGGATCTCTGCCCGGTGGGCCTCCAGCAGGATCCCTGCCCGCTGGCATCCCCTCTGAGGCGCAGTTCGTGCGCGCATACTGCCACGAGATACAGCGCCTGCAGGTGAGCTGGCTGTGCGTGCTCGGTTTTGTGTGTGGCAATGCAGCCATTGCAGCGGGAGGGGAGCCACGCTGCCGTCTCTCTCTCGGCATCACCCAGCTAGCTGCCCGAGGCACCACCAGCAGGATCCCTGCCCTGCCCGCTCGCACCCCCTCCGAGGCACAGTTTGTGCGCGCCTACTGCCACAAGATACAGCGCCTGCAGGTGTGCTGTGCTTGCTCGTGCTTGCTGTATGGGAGGCTGGCTGGTTGCCATGCCTTGCACTGCCGCATGGTATTCCTCTCCCTTCCCTCCGAGGCACAGTCCGTGCATGCTTACTGCGATAAGAGGAGTCAGAGGAGGGAGAGGAGGCAGAGGAGGATGAGGAGGCAGATGGGGCGCAGAGGATTTGAATGTTGTCAATTGATGCTTTTCTGCTCTCGCTCCCTCAAACGGTGCTTTGTGTTATATCGGCCATAGTTACATGCAAATGAGCAAGAACAATCTGACAGCTACATGCTTTTCTGCTCTCGCTCCTTCTGTGTCTGTTGCGTGCAGGGCGTCAGCCTATGGCCCGGTGACACATGGCGCTTCTACGTGGCCCTTTCGCTGTTCCGCGGCGCTGCTATCTTCACGGGGATTTACCAACGAGCACTGCAGGTAGTGCACGGTATTGTAAGCTGTGCAGGCAAAGCACTGCAGGTAGTGCACGGTATTGTAAGCTGTGCAGGCAAAGCACTGCAGGTATTGACGCATGGTAGTACCAACCAAGCATGGCAGGTACTGGAAGTATATGCATGGTACTGCAAGGAGTGTGGCACAGGTGGTGGATTGAGTGCTTGGAGGTGCTCCAGGTAGAGCAGTGCAGGTAGAGCAGTGCAGGTACTGCACGGTCGAGGTGTGGTACGGGTGGTGGAACGAGCGCTGGAAGATACTGCAGGCCCGTGCATATGCTCCCTAGTGCACCAGTGCAGTGCCCTTTTGAGGCGCCTCAAAAGCAGTGCAGTGCCCTGTTACATGCGCACGACTCACCATTCCATCCCCTGCTCTTCTGCCCCCTGCTCTCCCCTCCTTCCTCCTCAGGGCAGGCGGGCTCTCAGGTGGCTGGGCTCATAGCATGCGCCCTGCACTGCACTGCACGTGCTGCACTCTCACTCCCATTCACCTCACACCCTCTTCCCTCATTTCCCTGAGTGACGATGCATATTCCCTCCCTCCCTATCTTCATCCCCCATCAGGGCAATGCATCCTCCAGCAGGGCAGGCCAGGCCGGCCGTCAGGTGGCGGGTCTGATAGCATGCGCCCTGCACGTGGTGCACTCGCCCCCCTCCATTCCTGCCCGACCACCACAAGGCAGCAGCAGCATCAGTGGTTCAAGCGGCGCAGTGGGTATTGCAGGGGGTTGGGATGGATCCAGTGCGGTTCCAGCATCGCCATCCCATCCTGTGGGGCTGGCGCCCAGCCCGCGAGCCGAGGCACTGAGGAGGCGAGTGGCGGAGTTTGTAACGCAAGAGGTGTTGCCTATAGAGGGGATATTGGAGGAACATGCAGTGGGGGAGGCACGGTGGACTATTCACCCCCTGGTGGAGAAACTGAAGGGGAAGGCCAAGCAGGCTGGGCTCTGGAACCTGTGGATTCCCGCTCTGGTGAGTCGACGGCTTGTTACAACACATATGACGTGATGCGGATGCTTGTTTAGGGGATGAAGACAAGACGTGAGAGGTTGCAGAACTGCTGTTGCTCGCACTTGTGCACAATCAGTTGCCTGTTGCATGTTGAACATAGAGTCATAGGCTACGACACTCATGCGTGCAAGGATAGACATCAACCCCCTTCCCCCACTCCACCCCACTTTCCACCGTCCCCTGAACAACTTCAAGGCCTCTCAGACTGCACAACTGACATCAACCCCCTTCAACTCAATTCTTCCTCTCCTTCGCCGCCCTCCGCCCTCCCCCTCCTCCCCCCGCCCTCCCTCCTCCGCCCTCCCCCCTCCGCTCCCTGCCCTCCCTCCTCCGCCCTCCTCCCTCCGCTCCCTGCCCTCCCTCCCCCGCCCTCCCCCTCTCTTATGGCAGGATGCGGGAGTGCCAGTGACGCCTGTCCTTGGGGAGTGTCAGAGCCGGGGGCTGCTGGGGGCGGGGCTGTCGAATCTGGACTATGCGCACGTGTGCAAGGAGATGGGCAAGAGCGTGTGGGCGCCTGAGCTCTTCAACTGCTCTGCGCCCGACACCGGCAACATGGAGGTGGGATGAAGGGTTTGAGGGTGGTAAAATGCGGTACTGCACAGTGGGATGCGGTTTAGTGTGGTGGAATGCGGTTCAGTGCGGTGGGACAGGGTTCTGCTGCTGGGGGCGGGGCTGTCGAATCTGGACTATGCGCACGTGTGCAAGGAGATGGGCAAGAGCGAGTGGGCGCCTGAGCTCTTCAACTGCTCTGCGCCAGACACAGGCAACATGGAGGTGGGATGGGAACTGAGGTGAACCTGCTTTTGGCTTGTTGACCATCTCGATCTGTTATTCCATTGCAACACCCCACTCGTTTCACCTGTCGTAGGCGTGCATCAAACGGTGTCGTGTTGCAACGAGTGAAACGTTATTCTGCTGAGCCAACTGTCCCCTTCCTCCCGCCTACAACCAGGTTCTCTTGCGCTACGGCAACGAGCAGCAGCAGCGGGAGTGGCTGGTGCCTCTGCTGGAGGGCAAGATCCGTTCGTGCTTCGCCATGACAGAGCCACGAGTGGCGTCCAGCGATGCCACCAACATCGAGGCTCGGATAGAAAGGTGGGGATAGAAAGGTGGGGATAGAAAGGTGGGGATAGAAAGGTGGGGATAGAGAGGTGGGGATAGAGAGGTGGGGATAGAGAGGTGGGGATAGAGAGGTGGGGATAGAGAGGTGCAGACACACGTGTCAAGTGTTGGATGGGCAGTTGTGCTTGAGATTTGACTCAAAAAGAAGTGCGGGCAGAGTGTGCACCGTTCAACCTCTTGCTGATTTCCACTGAAACACCCTGTCGTCTTCCTTCCACTTCACCACGCTGTCTTCTTCCCCATACAGTGCGGGCGACCACTACATCCTACACGGCCACAAGTGGTGGGCCAGTGGCGCCAGCGACCCGCGCTGCAAAGTGGCAATCTTCATGGGCAAGCACCCCGAGCGAGCTGCTCCCTCCGGCCCCCACTCCGCGCCCGCACACAGGCAGCAGTCCATGCTGCTCGTGCCCATGAGTGCTCCTGGGGTGACTGTAGTGCGCCCACTGCTGGTGTTTGGATATGATGATGCGCCTCATGGGCACTCGGAGGTGCTGTTTGAGGGGGTTAAGGTGCCCAAGACAAGTGTGCTGCTGGGTGAAGGCCGAGGCTTTGAGATTGCTCAGGTGAGCACGGGAGCCAATAGTTGATTCAGACGCAGCAACTGTTTCAGGTGCTGTACCTGCTTCAGTCGCTTCAGGTGCTTCAGATGCTGTAGCAGAGTTGCTTCAGGTGCTGTAGCAGAGCTGCTTCAGGTGCTTCAGGTGCATCAGGTGCCCGTGCCATCCGCTGCCGGTGTTTGGGAACCCTGCCCCCCCCACCACACACGCACACTATTGACGGTGACTTGCACTGACCCTGAACCCTTTATGCATTACGGGTCGGTTAGGCCCGGGTCGGCTGCACCACTGCATGCGGATGATAGGAGCCACAGAGCGAGCCATGGACTGCATGCTCACCTGTGCCCTTTCCAACCCCATCACGCCTTCCCCCGAATCCATCCCCCCCCCCCCCCTGCCCCCCCCCTGTTTCTTGTCCTTCTCCAATCGCTTGCTCTAATCCCTTCATGTGCTACCAGGGTCGTTTAGGCCCGGGTCGGCTGCACCACTGCATGCGGCTCATAGGGGCCACAGAGCGAGCCATGGACTGCATGCTCCAACGCGCACTCTCCCGGGTGGCGTTCGGGCGGCCGCTGGGCGGCAACGAGTCGGTGATGAGGGATACTGCCGAATGCCGCATCACGCTGGAGGCGGCGCGACTGCTGGTGCTGCAGGCGGCTGCTGAGTTAGACGCCAAGGGGAACAAGGAGGCCCGGATCGCTATCGCTATGGCCAAGGTGAGTGAGAGACAGAAGGTCAGAGGGAACAGAGTGCGGTGTTCATGTGCCGCATCACGCTGGAGGCAGCACGGCTTCTGGTGCTGGACGCCAATTGGAACAAGGAGGCACGAATTGCTATTGCCATGCAGCTGCTGGTGCTGCAGGCGGCAGCTGAGCTGGATGTGAGGGCGAACAAGGAGGGCACGGATTGCTATTGCCATGGCTAGAGTGATTGACTGACACTCGTGTTGGAGAGAAGACGGTTATGTGTTGGTGTTGCTGCTTTTGCTGCTGCTGCAGAGTTGGCAAGAATAGCAAAGAGGGGAATGCAGCTGGCTGAGTTGTTGCCGTCGTCGTACCATCGTAATTCCTCCCCTTCCTCTTGTGCTTTGAGACTTCTCAGAACTCGTACCAATTTCTCCGCCCCCCCATTCTTTTCTTGAATTCCTCTCACTATCGCCCCTCCATTTCTGATTCTTCCAGGTGGCTGCCCCCCGGGCAGCTCAAAAAGTTCTGGACAGGGCGATCCAGGTGCACGGGGGTGGGGGGGTGAGCTCGGACTTCCCTCTTGCCCGCCTGTGGACAGCAGCTCGCACTCTGCGCATCGCTGACGGTCCAGATGAGGTGCACCTGGCCTCCATTGGGAAGAAGGAGCTGCGAGATTGGCAGAAGAGGATGATGGGGGGTGGGAGCAGTGGCAGCTCGGGTAATAGTGGAGCGTCAGCCCGCTTGTAGACAACTGGATTTTTTTTTTCGAGTCTACATGGGTTAAGTGGAGTCTGAGGGTGGAAGAGGGGGGGGTGAGCTTGGACGGACTTCCCTCTTGCCCGCCTGTGAGTAGCAGGGCGCACTCTGCACATTGCGGATGGTCCAGATGCGGTGCACTAGCCTCCATTGGGAAGGAGGAGCTGCAGGACTGGCAGAGAAGGATGATGAGGGGGGATGGGAGGAGTGGGAGGCCAGGTGGGAATGGGAGTGGAGCTTCAGCGAGGTTGTAATGGGCTCAGTAATCGATTCAATTCACATGTTCCTGTGGGTGTGGGTGTGGGTGTGGGTGTGGGCGTGTGTGTGTGTGTGTGTGTGTGTGTGTGTGTGTGTGTGTGTGTGTGTGTGTGGGCGTGTGTGTGTGTGTGTGTGGGCGTGTGTGTGTGTGTGTGTGTGTGAGGGGGGGGGGTGTGTGGGCGTGTGGTGTGGGTGTGAGTGTGTGTATGGGCGTGTGTGGGTGTGAGTGTGGGTATGGGCGTGTGTGTGTAGGTGTGTGTGTGTGTGTGGGTGTGTGGGTAGCTGGAACAAGGGAAGGGATCCAGGACAGGAAAAGGGCGAGAATGAGGGTAAGGAAGGGAAGAGAACAGGGACAGGAGGAAGGAAGCAGAAGGTATATGGGTTTGCCGACAGTGTGTGTGTGTGTGTGTGTGTGTGTGTGTGTGTGTGTGTGTGTGTGTGTGTGTGTGTGTGTGTGTGTGTGTGTGTGTGTGTGTGTGTGTGTGTGTGTGTGTGTGTGTGTGTGTGTGTGTGTGTGTGTGTGTGTGTGTGTGTGTGTGTGTGTGTGTGTGTGTGTGTGTGTGTGTGTGTGTGTGTGTGTGTGTGTGTGTGTGTGTGTGTGTGTGTGTGTGTGTGTGTGTGTGTGTGTGTGTGTGTGTGTGTGTGTGTGTGTGTGTGTGTGTGTGTGTGTGTGTGTGTGTGTGTGTGTGTGTGTGTGTGTGTGTGTGTGTGTGTGTGTGTGTGTGTGTGTGTGTGTGTGTGTGTGTGTGTGTGTGTGTGTGTGTGTGTGTGTGTGTGTGTGTGTGTGTGTGTGTGTGTGTGTGTGTGTGTGTGTGTGTGTGTGTGTGTGTGTGTGTGTGTGTGTGTGTGTGTGTGTGTGTGTGTGTGTGTGTGTGTGTGTGTGTGTGTGTGTGTGTGTGTGTGTGTGTGTGTGTGTGTGTGTGTGTGTGTGTGTGTGTGTGTGTGTGTGTGTGTGTGTGTGTGTGTGTGTGTGTGTGTGTGTGTGTGTGTGTGTGTGTGTGTGTGTGTGTGTGTGTGTGTGTGTGTGTGTGTGTGTGTGTGTGTGTGTGTGTGTGTGTGTGTGTGTGTGTGTGTGTGTGTGTGTGTGTGTGTGTGTGTGTGTGTGTGTGTGTGTGTGTGTGTGTGTGTGTGTGTGTGTGTGTGTGTGTGTGTGTATGTGTGTGTGCATGTGTGTGGGGGGGGGGCGTGGATATGGGAGTGGGAGTGGGTGTGTGGGTGAGGATGAGGGTGTGTGTGAATGTGGGTGGATGTGGTGGTGATATTCTTTGAGCTAGGCCTCTAGTAGGTACCATCAACAGATGCCCTCCTATCAACCCATCCTCAATGCTCCGCTAAAACAACCCAAGATCCACAATTTTCTCCAGCAAATCTGTTGTTCAGTTCATTAACGTTCATTAATCACAAACACAATGGACATAGTGTGCTACTTTAGAGGCGCCTCAAAAGTCGTTACAATTGCCCACACCAGATATTTTTTCAGTGCAAGTGTTCTCAAATCACCAAGTACATAAGCCAGAATGTGTGCTAGCGCTATTCACTCGCTGAACAGGTTGTTGGAAACAATAAGTCCTAAGTGCGCTTCTGTCGTATCAAAAACCAAGGTACCAAGCGAAGCAGTCCCAATCGAAGCATCGAGTCAACCTCGGAGGTTAGGGTAACCGCCTGGAGGTTACGAGAAAGTCAAAGGTCGCTGACCTTTGACTCGACAATTACAGCGCGACAGTTAAGGACACACAACTGACTCGTTACAGAACAGTTGCCCGAGTCGCGCTATATCGAACCGCAACAGCAATACAGTTATCTATCTATTCCCTGTACTCTTATATAAATCCTTGTATTTGCTTGTTTAATTCAATCAACTTTGCTCTCACACACCAGTGCAAGGTCGGTTCAAATTCTTCACTAAACGCTTCCGCTATTACAACTACTTCACCTAGAGTTATCCCTTGCAAAGATCCTAAGGGGCTATCTCAGCCCAACATGGTATGAGAGCAGACAAGGGAAACTCTACTCCTTTTTTCAAGATCATTACAAGACATGGCAACAAACAAGGAAAGGAGCTCCCCTAATGGCTCCTCGGGCACTACTCCTACTCCACCGCCAGCCTCTGGCCTGCAGACAGAAGAAGGCACGGCAACAAGACCAAGAGGAACGTCAACCGAGACCCCCATGAACCACCCTTCGGACTTTGACCAGAACATGATGGAGAAATTTTTCTCCTTCATGTCCTTCTACGAACAACACCAGCAGTCGGGACCTGCACAAACACACAACAGCAACAACGGAGCGACACCCATGAGTCTTGATGGGTCGTCATATGCGCGAGGAAACCAGCAGCAGCAACCTACCTTTGCTCCGTACGAGCGCGGGTCAATCAGCTTCGTGCCCCACCCGCAACCTTCACCTGGACAAGAAAGACCACTGGACGCACTTCAAGTTCAGTCGCAGTTTGCACACGTCTTAAAACTGCAAACGTCAAGACCCTTCGACGGCAAAGACTTCTTTACCTGGTCCTTTGAATTCGAGCTGATGATGGAGGGCGCGCAGATACTCGGCTTCTTCGACGGGTCCCTGCAGTATCCAGCCAACGGGACACAATATGAAAAGCAGCAGTATACGTATCAATCAATGATGGCGTATACAATCCTATTGAGGAACGTGACACCAACTCAGCAGCAGAACATTCGCTCTTACCGGACCTTCGGCAACTCGGCGGAGCTCGCGTACAGCCATCTGAAGAACCTGTATCAAGCAACAGACAGTGTAAACCAGAGCAGGTTAATGGCGCAGTTGACGACAGTCGAAATGAAACCAGGAGAAAAAGGGCTGGCGTATATCAGCCGATGTCGCGAACTGCGCGACAAGCTGCTTCGATGCGGAGGGTCAATCTCTGAAGACGCCTTCGTGACAGTCATCATTGGTGGGCTTGGTCCTCAGTGGCGCGCCACCAAAGCCATTCTTCGAGCCCACGGAAGAATCTCTGAAGCTGCACTCTGCGCCGAAATACATGCCGAGCAGCAAGATATGGACCTGCAGGAAGAACGACACAGGAAGAAAACGACAGTATCAGAGTTCGCATTCCACACTCAACGACGACACAGCAATTATAACAACCGACAGCAGCAACCGAAGATAGTACCTCCCTTCTGCCACATCTGCAAGACTTCAGGGCACCCGCGCACACACTGCCCGAATCGTCAGCAATCAACGGCACCACAGCGACAACTTCGACCTTCAAGCTCCCAAATGGCTTCAACACAAGCAAGTGCGACGACCACTATTCAAGCTTCAACGACTTCACCCGGACAACCTGCACAAGGAGCAAGAAATATAATCAACTGCATGACGAAGATAACCGATTCGTGTACAACCGAATCACCACCACACTACTCACCGGAAGAAGAGCTTGACAACAGAACGCCTCGTCGTGAGCTACTCCAGCCGAATCCAACGTACGCCGCCATCGCTCAAAGTGAACCGTCCGGCCAAGACACCTGGTTCTTGGACAGTTGCTGCGGGCAACACATGTGCTCGTCCGGGCGTTTCGTACAACGCGAACATCGACTCCGACGGGAAGTGATCATCACGGTTGCCAACAACCAAAACCTGCGCACACGAAGACAAGGAGTGGTACAGCTTCAGTCAAGAGAAACAAATGTCATACTGCACATGTCTAAGGTACTCATCGCTGAAGGACTCGGCTACAACTTACTGAGCGTTAGCCAGTTGATGGCGAAAGGAATTCATCTGGAAGCCGACAGCACGACCCAGGAGTTCAAACTTTACCACGGGAGAGGCGGCCTCTACATCGGGAAAGCAGTGCTGAAGAACAACGTCTTCGTCCTCGACTTCGTTCCTGACCTGGGCACTGCAGACAGCGACGCCATCGTGAATTTCACTGACTGGACACACCCTCCGGATCTCGACCCCGACTTCAGCCCAGGAGGCTTCTGGTACTCGCACACCATTCCTGAAGCAGAACGAACACGAGCATTAGCAACAATTCGACAATCGGCAGCAGCAGTAACAACATCGGCAGCAGCAACAACATCAGCAGCAGTAACAACATCGGCAGCAGCAACAACATCGGCAGCAGCAACAACATCAGCAGCAGCAGGAACAACGACACCAGTCACAGTCGACGAAGCACCACCAACACCCGCGCAACAGCTGAATCCGACTCAACGTGAAGTCCACCGAAGCGCCAACCTCGTCGCCAGCTTTTACTCCAACTCCGACGCATATCAGCGTTCACCTGGACACCGCGCCTCTGAAGAGATCTGGCACGCACGAACAGGACATCCAAGCAACACGGTTTTGAATAACACGATAAGAGCAGGAGTTCTTGACAAAGATTCTCTACTTCTACCCGATGGCAGAGAACTCCAGAAGGCACGAGGGACTTGCCTTATATGTCCCGAAGCTGACTTACCTCATCGACCGTTTGCTTCACATCACAACCCGAGCGCTCCAGCGTACGCACCACTCGAAAAAGTCTACAGCGACATCCTCTACAATCGCGAACCAGGACAAGTCAACTACAACTACACCATCACCTTCATCGACGCCGCCACTCGATACGTCTGGCATCGCAACCTACCCAGCCGCGACATGGCGCTCGCAGCATTCGCCGCCTGGCTACCGATAGCAGAGAGAGAGTCTGGAACACAACTGAAAAATTTCCAGTCAGACGGAGGTGGCGAGTACACCTCTCACCGCTTCAAGCAGTTCTTGGCGGAAAGGGGGATCAAGCAACTCCTCTCCCTTCCCTACGCACATCAGCAGCAAGGTGTTGCAGAACGACTGAACAGGACCCTGCAGAACAGCATGCGCAAACTGTTACGTGGCATGCGGCTACCCAACCACCAGTGGCCAGCAGCAATGGACCACGCTGTCATGCTACACAACTTGTTGTCGTCGTCGTCACTCCCGAACAACGCATCACCGCATCTGCTGTGGACAGGGAAGCAAGGCAGCACGAAAATGTTACGAGTTTTCGGGTGCATGGTACAGTACAGACCCCCAGAAGCACGAGCGGGAAGATTTTCGCAACGGGCACAGTGGGGACTACACCTCGGCATCGAGAAAAATTACAACGCATGGAGAATCTTCGACGTCCACACAAAGGAAACAGTAGCAGCACGTGACGTGATCTTCTACGAAAGACTCACCCTTCAGACGTACCTCGCCAACTTGCACGAGAATCGGGACCTCACCAGTGGTTTTCGTGGTGACCGAGCCTTCGCGTCAGCAGCGGATGAAGCAGACTGGGACGAGCAGAATGTTGACAACGCATCGGCAGAAGCCGGACCTCTCCCGTACTGCTCCGTCAACGTGCCCATGGACGAAGAAAATCCTCGCGACAGTAACAATGCCGAAGTCTTCTACCACTTCGCCGACACCGGTTACGTAACACCTGCAACCGTCAACACAAATGAAGCAGAAAGGATAGGACCGAATTTCATCCCTGATCCAGAAGCGGGAGACGAAGCAGCTTATCCCGAGGATCCAGAACTCCCTCGATACTCACAGACTGGGCTGCAAATCCTCGGCCTCGTCACCGCAGTCCACGGGAACACACGCAGCTCGCTTCCTAAGGAGCCTGCAACGGTTCAGCAGGCTCTGGGGGGGGAACACAGGGAGAAATGGCGTGAAGCCATGGATAGAGAACTGAAGGCATTAGAGGAACGCAACACTTGGAAGGTTGTTCCCGTAAGCGTGGCACGGAACAAAACCATCCTTACCGGGAAATGGGTCTTCCGCATCAAGACGAAAGCAGACGGCACGATCGAAAAATTCAAAGCACGCTGGGTCGTACGTGGATTCGACCAAGAGCAAGGACGAGACTTCACCGAGACCTTTGCTCCAGTCAGCCGCCACACGTCACTCCGAATTCTCCTCGCCATTGCCGCCATGAAGAAGAAGAAGTTACGGCAGATCGACGTCGCGAATGCCTTCCTCTACGCACCTGTGGATGCAGAAATCTACGTCGAGCTCCCGCACGGTTCCCACGGCGAACCCAACCGAATCTGTCAACTACTTAAATCGCTCTACGGGATCAAGCAGGCACCGCGACTGTGGCAGCAGTACCTGCACGCCCGTCTCATCCGCATCGGCTTTAGTCAACTACCTCACGACCAAGGCATGTACCGCCTCACTAAGGGAAGCGACTACGTTCTCCTGATCGTCTACGTGGACGATCTCCTCTATATTGGGTCAACCGACGGCATCGCCACGTGGTTCGAAGGAGAGCTCCAGAAAGACCTCACGCTCACGGTCTCCTCCACCGTTACACAGTACCTCGGGCTCAACATCCGCGAAGAAGAAAACGCCATCTATCTAAGCGCCGAGAAATACGCCGACACCATCGCGAAACGCTTCAGCCTCACACCAAGCGCCATCTCCACGCCTTACCGCTACACATCAGGAACCGAGAAGGAACGAACTACCCTACTCAAGCCCGCCGGCATACGCGACTATCAGAAGAAGCTCGGATGCCTGCTATTCGCCGCCGTCACCTGCCGTCCTGACTTATCCTACTCCGCAAGTCAGCTCGCCACCTATCTCAAGAAGCCTGAAGCTGAACACCTGGCGGAACTTGATCGCGCTCTCCACTACTTCGTCAGCACCGCGACGATCGGGCTAACCTACCACAAGAGCGCAGCTACACCGACTAAGCTAATCGGCTACGTCGACGCCGATCACGCCGGCGACACCGACAACAGGCGCTCACGCATCGGCTATGTCTACCGCCTTGAGCCTATCGGTCCTATCTCCTGGCAGTCGAGCAAGCAGGAGTTAATCGCACTATCTTCAGCAGAAGCAGAATATATTGCACTCTGCTCAGCCACCAAGGAAGGACTTTACCTTCGCGAACTACTGGAAGAAGCGAAGCTAGCCGAGTTACCCAGCTTCACCGTGTTCTGCGACAACCAGTCAGCAATTCCCATCGCCAACAAAAACGGCTTCGCAAACAGGACGAAACACATCGCCCTGCGCTATTTCTTCGTGAAGGACGAGATAGAAAAAGGGAAACTCGATCTGTCATACTGTCCAACATCCGAGATGGCAGCCGATTACTTGACCAAGAAACTCGGCAAGCAGAAGTTCGAATACTGCATGATGCTGACTGGACAAGGCCACGTCACCAGCAGTAACACTCCAGAAGCGAAGGGGAGTGTTGGAAACAATAAGTCCTAAGTGCGCTTCTGTCGTATCAAAAACCAAGGTACCAAGCGAAGCAGTCCCAATCGAAGCATCGAGTCAACCTCGGAGGTTAGGGTAACCGCCTGGAGGTTACGAGAAAGTCAAAGGTCGCTGACCTTTGACTCGACAATTACAGCGCGACAGTTAAGGACACACAACTGACTCGTTACAGAACAGTTGCCCGAGTCGCGCTATATCGAACCGCAACAGCAATACAGTTATCTATCTATTCCCTGTACTCTTATATAAATCCTTGTATTTGCTTGTTTAATTCAATCAACTTTGCTCTCACACACCAGTGCAAGGTCGGTTCAAATTCTTCACTAAACGCTTCCGCTATTACAACTACTTCACCTAGAGTTATCCCTTGCAAAGATCCTAAGGGGCTATCTCAGCCCAACACAGGTTAGCCTTCCCTAACAATCACATTATTCCCCACTAACTTCGCCTCACAATAACCAATGAGAGATGCATAAACCAACAGCATGCACAGCATGTTCTGCAGTGTCGAACGCACTCACTCCTACTGTACCGTACCATACCACATACCTCCAGGTGCAGTGCAGTGAAGGGTCAAGACAAGCCTGTTTGTTACCTCAACGTGTGGAGAGCTTCAGCCCTACATAGAGCCTATCATCGTTGCACACGTACCCATTATTCAGCTCCGCCAGCTTTTTTGCACTATTCTGGAACTTGAGCGATATGATATGCGCACAGAAGTCCCCCCTCTTCACCGAGTAAGACTTCTCGCTCTGCTGCTTAGACCCCGCCAGCTGGCGGCCCGTCGGTGAGCGAGCCGCGGCCAGCAGCGCCAGCTGGCGGCCCATCGATGAGTGTGTGGAGTGAGAAGGAATGGAGGAGGAGGAGGAGGAGGAGGAGGAGGAGGAGGAGGAGGAGGAGGAGGAGGAGGAGGAGGAGGAGGGAGAGGAGAGGGCCGAGGGGAAGAGCGTGGAAGGAAGCTCACGGACTGAGCGAGGCTTGATTGCGCTGGGGGAACCCGCGAGGTGGGCATCCACACACACCTGTGGTAGTGAGGATGGGTGTGGACGGTGTATCATTGATTGAGTGCTTTCTAGGATGGATGGGTCCATGGTAGTGGGGGGAGGATGGGGTGATTGCGCTGGGGGAACCTGCTTTGCATGCATCCACACCACACACACCTGTGGTAGGGAGGATGGGCGTGGACGGTGTATCATTGAGTGCACTCTAGGATGGATGGTAGTGGGGGGGAGATGGGGTGATTGTGCTGGGGGAACCAGCCTGGTATGTATCCACACACTCCTGTGGTAGGGGGGATGGGTGGGTGTGGAGCACAGAGGGGGTAAGATAGGCGTGCGCGGGGACGATGTGAGAGTGAGGGCAATGGGCCGGGTGTTCAATCGCGGAGGCACAATGTATGCATCCCCACACACCTGCGGTGAGGGCGTGTTCATTCGCGGGTGCATACAATCACTGCTACACAACCCTCACCTGCTACACAACCCTCACCTGCTACACAACCCTCACCTGCACACCACCACTACGGGCATCATCACTGCTCTTCACCCAACCAGTCCCTCAGCTTCACCTATTCTAGCCCAAGCCAGCCCCGCTGCCTTAACAGGCGGAAGAGATGTTTTTGCAGCCCACCCCACGGTTGAGTGGGGTATGGGGACTCACCCCCCGGTTGAGTGGGGTATGGAGACTCACCCCCCGGTTGAGTGGGGTATGGCGTCGCAGCGCACCCCCGGGTTGAACGAGAAGAATGGACGGAGAAATCAAACCCCATCCCAACTTCCATTATCACCGCATCCCACTCCTCACCTACACGCCTTCCCCATCCCAGCCGACGCGAGAGCCTCCGAACGACGGGAAGAGGCGGTCACAGGCCAACCCTGGGTTGAACGAGACGAAGGCGGTTCGGTTGAGAGCGTGATCCTGCATGATGCTTCCACACGTGTCCCCTGCGCGCACCGTGTACCATCGAATGCACATGGGCAGCTTGGGCACGTCGTTCTCTCCGCTGCCCTTCACCACACATAGCTGCCATTCAGGGGAAGGAGAGGAAGGAGGGGACGGTTTGGTTGAGAGAATTGTCTTTTATGATGCTTCCACACGTGTCTCCTGAGCGCACAGTGTGCCATGTGGTGCACATTGGCAGCTTCGGTACGTCCTGCGTCCCGCTGCCCTTCACCACACATAGCTGCGTCGTGGATTGAGAGAGGAAGACGGGGAGCAAGCATGAGAGCAAGGAATGGGAGCCGGTGGGGAAGGGGGTGGAGAGGAGGAGTGGGAGGATATGTGTCGGCACGTGGAGGGAATAAGGTGGTGTTGTTGAGAGCATGATCCGCTATGATGCCATCACTCAAACGTGCCCACCACACCGCACTGCACCGCATCTCACCTGCTGGTTCACGCGCGGAGCTCTCCTGGTGCTATCGCACTTGATCCCCGGGTAGAGAGCCAGAAACTCGTCCACTGTGAGGGAGAACGAGCTTGCCACACCGCCGAGCACCGCACTGCACCGCATCTCACCTGCTGGTTCACGCACAGAGCTCTCCAGGTGCTATCGCACTTGATCCCCGGGTTGAGAGCCAGAAACTCGTCCACTGTGAGGGAGAACGAGCTTGCCACACCGCCGAGCACCGCACTGCACCGCATCTCACCTGCTGGTTCACGCGCGGAGCTCTCCAGGTGCTATCGCAGCTGATCCCCGGGTTGAGAGCCAGAAACTCGTCCACTGTGAGCGAGAACGAGCTTGCCAGGCTGTCACACGTGTCCTTTGCCGTCCACGAGTAGAAGAGCACGCAGTGCACCGCTTCTGTCAGCGGCGGCGCCACGCTCACTGGTGTGTCGTACATGATTGAAACGCACTCCCCTGTGCCCTGTGGTGGGGTGGGGTGGGACCGTGGGGGATGGGGCAAAATCACTTTGGAGAATTCTCAAAAGTGATTTCATCATGGCAGCGCCACGCTCACTGGTGTGTCATACATTATTGAAACACACTTCCCCATGCCCTGTGGGTGGGGTGGGGTGGGACCGTGGGATGGGGCGTGAGTTGCATCAGTGGCCAGTTCACGAGTAGTAGACGTGGCAGGCAAGTGCAACATTCTCGCGGAATGAAGGAGACAAGGAACAGAACAGCCCTCCAGCTCTGAAGTGGACCAGGTGCGTCAAAAGTGAGAGCTCACCAGTTGGGAGTTCTGAACGAAAAAAGCCTCCTGCGTGCAAGGACGTAGAGATGGTAGACGAGATGAATGCAGGGGAGGAGCAACAAGGTAGCAGCTCAGAAGGGGGAAGGAGTTCAGTTCAGTCGCATCAAAAGGTAAAGCTCACCAGGTTGAGGTCCTGCGCTGAGGAAGGCCTTTTCTGTGGGGCCGTAGAGCTGGTAGACGCACGGAACAAAGGAGGTGAAAAGGGACAGCCCCCCAGCTCTGAAGAGGAATCAGGCACGTTACAAGAGAGAGCTCACCAGTTGCGGGTTCTGTGCAAGAAATTCTTGCTCTGTGAGGCCGTAGATCTGGTAGACGAGCGGGCAGACGATGAAAATCGGGAAGGAGAGATTGACGGTGCGGGTGGTGGCTGCAGATGGGGGAGAGGGGGAAAGGACGGATGGTGGAGAGGTGAAAAAACGGAGGAGGCTGGAGATGAGAAAGGGGGAAGACGAGAGGGTAGTCGATGTCAATCTGGATGTCGAGATTAGAAAAGATGAGACGGTGTGTTGTGTATTAGAAAAGATGTCGAGATTGGACCTAAACCTAATTGAACTTGGGGTGTGTCCAGTTTAAGCTAAGAACTGCGAAATGAACCTAAACTGAACCCTTAGGTGTAACAAATGAACAGAATAACACCATGAGAGCGAGCTCCAGCCTACTCCAACACGGCGTAGGAAGAGGAGGAGAGGCGAGGAAGAGGAGGAGAGGCGATTGAGATGCGAGGAGAACACAAGGGAGAGGAAGGTGCACCCATGGTTCAGGGATGGGATAAATACGATTCGTTGTGGCTCCTAAAAAAACCCCAAAAGGACCAGAGGAGCGGGCCAGTTGAACACATATTGGGACGCATGTGGGAGCGCCTGTCAACGGGAGTGTTGTTTGGCCCCGTCCTCGCTTGGGCGGAGCCGACCTCGTGGTCGGATGTACGGGGGTTGCAGCCAACCTGCAGCAGCGGGCATGGGGGCCACTGCAAGGGCGCCGAGCTGGAGGGCGCCTGGCTGGAAGGCGCCGGGCAAGAGGACGCTGTCCTAGACGCTTGGTCCTCGTCCTGGACGCCTGGTTGGCGTCCTGGTAGGCCAGACGCCGACCTGGGCATCCGCACGGCGTCCTGGGAGCCTGGGACGCCGCCTTGGGCGTCTGCATGGCGTCCCGGGGGCCCGGACGCCGACCTGGGCGTCCTAGGGGCCCGGACGCCGACCTGGGCGTTTGTTCGGCGTCCTGGGAGGCTGGGCGCCGCCCTGGACGTCTGCAACGCACCCTGGGCATCTGGACGCCGGACTGGGGATGCCGGGCATTGGTGGCCGACTACGGACTACGATGGTTGATCAGGTGTGGTTGCCCGGTCGACCGGGATACCCGGGCGACGTGCGCGAGTGTCGCCGGGGTGGAGTCTGTGAGGCTGACCTCGGGGGTGGTATCCCGAGGTCGACGTGGCTGGTGGGCGCAGTCGCTGGCATGGAGTCTGCCAGGCGTCTGCGTTGTGCACGTGACAGGGAAGTGCGCACCAACCAGCTGCACGCACCTGCGAAGCAGGTGCACCGTTGTCTTGCGGGTGCAACGCAGTGCAACCGACTTGTTGCAGCGTTGGCACAACATGGACTTGCAACGTTGGCACACCACTACTCTGCAACGCTGGAGCGGTGCGAGCGCTACTGCGCTGGAGCGCGGTCGACCATGCTGCACTGGAGGTCGACCAGCAGCCTAGCTAGCTCTGATGTAGTCTGTGTTGCCAATGTTGTTGTCACCATTGTTGTCAATCTTTGCTAGTGAAACTCTTGCAAAATCTCCCCGTGAATGTGCAAGCAGAGATCACTCAAGCAAACGACGAAGGAACGCAGAGATCACACGAGCACCCGTGCCTAGCTCGCAGCCTAGCTCCCATTGCTAAAGTTATCTCCGTATGGTGCGGTGAGCGTGGACGACACCGCGACGATGTTCAGTCTAGCCGACTTTGCACCAACCGTGTTCGTAGGCCGGCAGCCGTGCAGTCACTAGCGTGCGCGTAGGTGACGCCGAGGTGATGGACACCCTGGAGGCACAGCTGGAGGATGCGAGGAGACGCCACGAGGCCCAGGAGTGCAAGGCAGTCGTCGAGGCAAGACTCCGCTCCGTGTGGGCGGCGGAGCACCCCCCTTCTCGGCCTGCCTCTCCTCGACCGGTGAACAACGACGGCGGCGTCGACGTGGGCATTAACGCCAGTGGAGGTCAGGTCGGCAGCAGTGCGGGAGGCGCGTCAAGGCAACGAGGTGTGACACACGCCGGTGAAGCCGACGGCGTTCGGGCACGAGGGATGCAGTCCTCGGCGGCTGCTAACTCCTCGCAGGGCAACGTCGGAGGGCGTCGAAGCGGATTGTCGCCGATGTCGGCGACCCAGGTGACGGCGGACGGGATTGCACTGAGTTACGGCTACTTCAAGTTTACGCTGGACAGGATCTTGGTCACCCCTCCGCTATTCGGTCGACCCGACATTCTCACCTGGAAGGTAGCCATCGAGCCCCAGCTGGAAATGGCCAGGCTGATCGGCTTCGCCCGAAGGACCGTGGCGACGCCGGGGGAACACTAATAGAAATGGAGCTCAACTGATTTATTAGGAAAGAAGGGACTAGGCCTTAAGTACAAACGAGGTTGGGATGGGAAAGGCTAGGGAAAAGATGGGATGGGAATCCTAGCAAATCTCCAATTGGTGAGTTGGCAGATTTGCAGGATTACGAGTTAATCCCAACCAGATAGGGTTGGGATCACAAACTACACCCAACCCGCAAATAACCTACGCGATAGAATATAGTATACAAAGTGTTGACAGTCTAATTCTAACACACCCCCTAGGCTGCAACACATCAGCCACAAGGAAGCCCAACACCCATGGCCGAGAGGAGGCGGTAATGATCCTCGCAAACAAGCGACTTGGCAAACAAGTCAGCAAGGTTGCAATCGGAGGCAATGTGTTCAGCCTTCAGCTGCTCGCGCTGCACCAGCTCACGAAGAAAGTAGTGACAGACTTCAATGTGCTTGGTGCGGCCATGGAAAACGGGGTCTTTGGTGAGATGAATGGTGCTCTCGTTGTCACACCAAAGCGTTGGGGTTGGTTGGGGATACCCCAGTTCTGTCAGCAGGAAGGAGAGTTAACGAGCCTCCTGTGCAGCCATGGTCCCGGCATACAGCTCTGCCTCACAGGTCGACAGTGAGACGGAGGACGACCGAGTGGAGCGCCAACTTACAACCCCACTGCCAAGGGTAAAGCAATACCCTTGGGACGAGCGCCGATCACTCTGGTCATCAGCATAGGATGAGTCACTGTACCCCTCAAGGCGAACATGGGAAGTGCCGCCAAGTGTGAGCACATAATCATGTGTGCCTTTGAGATAGCGAAGAACCCGCTTGGCGGCAGACCAGTGGTGGCGAGTGAAGCGACCAGGTGCAACGTAGCGGGACAGTACACTGACTGGATAGGCTAAGTCTGGTCAAGTGCACATCATCGCGTACATGAGGGATCCCACGAGCTCGGGGTAAGGCTCGTCACAGGGCTCAGGTGAGGGAACGGAGGGTGCAGTGAGTTGGTGTTGCAGAGAGATTGGGGTGGGCATTGATGCTGCTTCCTGCATCTGGCACCTTGTCAGAACGTTGTTGATGTAAAACTTCTGCGAAAGGGTGATGGTGCGGGCTGTGCGATCACGTGTGATTTCCATTCCCAAATAGTTCGTCAGCTTCCCAAGGTCCTTCATGGCCAGCTTCTCACCAAGTGCGGTTTTGACTGCTGCCAGCTCAGTCTGATCCTTGGTGACAAGGATCATGTCATCGACATAAACCAGGATGAAGAACCGGGAGGGTGTTGCTCGGATGAAGAGGCTGGGGTCAGAGGTGGATGGGTGAAAGTCGAGGGACCCTAAGGTGCTCTTTAGCTTGTTGTGCCATTCCCGGGGAGCTTGCTTGAGGCCTTACACTGGCCGATTCAACTTCCATACAGTGCCTGGTGGAAAAGGAGCTGGAAATCCTTCGGGCCGCTCCATATAGATTTCCTCTCGAAGGATCCCTTGCAGGAACGCAGAAGACACATCCATGCAGTCAACCTCCATGTCATCTCGAGCAGCGACATCGAGAAGGGTGCGCAGTGTGGGAGGTTTGGCGGTGGGAGAGAATGTCTCAAAGAAGTCCAGTCCACGCTTTTGGGTAAATCCCTTGGCACAGTACCGGGCTTTGAAAACAGGAAATTCGCCTGGAAGTTGTTTCACCAGAAAGACCCATTTTCCCTTCACAATGTTGACGCCGGAGGGAGGAGAGACGTCTGTGAAAGTTCCTGTGTGAATGAAGGCCTCACATTCTGCGACAATGGCCCCCAATCACTGAGCGGCGTGAGGACCAGAGACTGCTTCAACATAGGTGAGAGGTGTGGGGATGGAGGGGTTGTCGGAGAAATTGAGGGTTGGAGAGTCTGCGATGTCTGGAAAGAGGAAGCAGAGTGCGTGGATGGCTGAGTCGATATCAATCAACTCCTCATGTCTGTCTTCAAGGAGGGATGGCATGAGAGAATAATCACCCCCGACAGGAGGAGGATTGAGAGAGACGCGAACGGAAAGGGAGAACGGTTGTGGAGGTGTGCGAGAGCGGGTGCGAGAGCGGGTGCGAGAAGCGATGGGTGAGGGAGGCGGGGCCGGAGTAGGCGTAGCGGAAGGGGAGGTGGGAGTGGGAGGGAGAGTGGAGACAGGATCGGGATCAGGGGTGGGAGCAGGAGGAGGAGGAGGAGCTGGGTGACGGCGTTGGTAGGTTTTGAGAGGAACGGGCTCGGTAGGAGGAGATGCGAGAGGAGATGGAGGAGGGGTAGCGGAGGAGGGAGGGAGCGAGGGAGACTGTGTGGTACTGGAGGGGGAAGCGGGTGATGGGGGATCAGAAATGGTGGAGGGAGCGGGAAGAGGAGGAGATGGAGTGTCGGGAAGAGGGAGACTGTCAAAGTCAGCCCAAGTAAGAGAGGGAGGCGGAGGAAGCCTTGGAGGAGGGGTAGAATGGGTGGGACTCATCAAAGTAAACGTCCCGGCTGCGATAGAGCTTGTTGGTGGAAGGATGGAGGAAGAGATAGTCTGGCGAATCTAAGTTGTGCCCAAGGTATACGCACGTGATCGTTTTGGGAGCAAGTTTGCCGCCAGCCGCACGACGGGCTTGGGAGTTGAGGAGGACATATGAAGTGCACCCCCATACACGAAGAGGGCAGACGGATGGCTTTTGACCCGTCCATAGCTCAGCAGGGGTGGTGTGGGTGTGATGAGGATGGGGATGGAGATTGTGGAGGGCGGCAGCATGAAGCATGGCGTACCCCCAGAGAGAGGGAGGGGCTGAGGTGTGCGTGAGAAGGCAGCGAGCAATCTCCACCAATGTACGGTTCCGACTTTCGGCAATACCGTTCTGTTGGGGACTGTCCGGGAGAGTGAAGGTCTGACAGATACCCTCAGTGGAGCAGAAAGCTTTGAGAGTGTTGTTGCGGAATTCACCGCCACCGTCAGAGTGAAGGACCTTGATGGTGGTTTTGAAGTGTTTGTGAGCCTGCTTCGCCCATTCAATGATGACGCCTCGGGCTTCGGATTTGGAGGAGAGGTGGACAGGCACATAGCCGACCCCGACCACCGTTGGGAGATCTCGGCGATGACGGTGAAGGAGGAGTTGGCAAGCTGGAAGGGCCCGGCCGTAAAGGCTGCCATGGAAGAGGAGATCCAGAGCCTCATCAACATGGGCACGTGGGAGCTGGTCGAACGTTCGCCGGGGGTGAACATCATGAAGAACCGGTGGGTGCTGACGACGAAGTACCGCATCGACGACACCGTCGAGCGCGAGAAGGCAAGGCTGGTCGTGAAGGGCTTCACGTAGGTGTACGACGCCGACTACGACGAGACGTTCGCGCCGGTAGGCAGCTACGTCACGCTGAGGATCTTCCTCAGCATCGCCGCCGTCCTCAACCTCAACCTGATGAAGCTCGACCGGGTGCTGTACATGTCCCAGCCGGACTACTTCAACGACGGAACCGGCCGGGTGTGCAAGCTGCTGAAGAGCCTGTACGGGCTAAAGCAATCGCCGCTGCTGTGGTACTTGGCGCTCAACGATGTGCTGGTCGGCGCCGCGTGGAAGAAGAGTCAGGTTGACGAGGCTCTGTACTTAAAGATCAGCGACGACGGAGTGGCCTACTGGGTGTTGGTCTACGTCGACAACCTGCTCGCCGCCAGCAGCAGCACCGAGATGCTGAAGGAGTTGAAGGAGCTGCTGGAGTCCGCCTTCAAGCTGCGTGAGATCTCGCCGGTGCAGAAGTACCTCAGGCTGAAGATCGTGCGCGACAGGTCGGCGGGGAAGCTGTGGCTGCATCAGCAAGGCTACGCCAACAAGCTGCGTAGGCGCTTCATCGACGAGGAGCAGACCGGGCGCACCCCGAAGACGCCGGTCTTGGTCGACGCCTACGCCGAGCTCACCTTTGACGACGAGGAGGCACAGGAACGCCAGGAGGAGGAGTACCGCCATGCGAGCACGAGAGGTTACGTGCTCGTCTACGGAGGGGCCGCACTCTCCTGGTCGAGCCAACGCATCAAGTGCGCGACGCTGTCGTCAACCGAATCGGGGTACGTGGCGGCCACCGAAGCCCGCAAGGAGGGACGCCGCCTTCGCTTCCTCCTTACAGAGTTCCGGCAGCTGGATGCCGGGAAGCCGATCGTCCTTCGGGTGGACAACAAGTCGGCCATCACGGTCGCCGAGGGCATGGGGTTGACCGGCAACCTCAAGCACATGGAGCCGCGACAGGCCTGGCTGCAGCACAAGGTGAGGCGCTGGAAGTTCTCGCCGAGGTACATCCCGACCACCGAGCAGCCGGCCGACTTCCTGACGAAGGCGCTTCACTACCCGGCCTTCAACCGGTGCTCCGTCACAATCGGCCAGGTGCGCTTGGTCATCATGGGCGACGGCGACGACGTCATGCAACAGTAGGTGCCATGCCTTCTTGCATGGCTGGTGCGATGACCAACGTGCTGTGTGTTGGGTGCATGCCGACAGGCTATTCTCGGAGCTGTACTGCCGTGTGGACTGGGGGCCCAAGCGTGAATGCGGCAGGGGAGTGTCAACGAGAGTGTTGTTTGGCCCCGTCCTCGCTTGGGCGGAGCCGACCTCGTGGTCGGATGTACGGGGGTTGCAGCCCACCTGCAGCAGCGGGCACGGGGGCCACTACAAGGGCGCCGGGCTGGAGGGCGCCTGGCTGGAAGGCCCCGGGCAGGAGAACGCCGTCATGGACGCTTGGTCCTCATCCTGGACGCCTGCTTGGCGTCCTGGAAGGCCAAATGCCGACCTGGGCGTCCGCACGGCGTTCTGGGAGCTTGGGACGCCGCCCTGGGCGTCTGCACGGCGTCCTGGGGGCCCGGACGCTGACCTAGGCGTCAAGGGGACCCGGACGCCGACCTGGGCGTCCTAGGGGCCTGGACGCCGACCTAGGCGTTTGGTCGGCGTCCTGGGAGGCTGGGCGCCGCCCTGGACGTCTGCAAGGCGTCCTGGGCATTTGGACGCCGGACTGCGGACTGCGATGGTCGATCAGGCGTGGTTGCCCGGTCGACCGGGATACCCGGGCAATGTGCGCGAGTGTCGCCGGGGTGGAGTCTGCGAGGCCGACCTCGAAGGTGGTATACAGAGGTCGACGTGGCTGGTGGGCGCAGTCGCTGGAATGGAGTCTGCCAAGCGTCTGCGCTGTGCACGTGACAGGGAAGTGCGCACGAACCAGCTGCACGCACCTGCGAAGCAGGTGCACCGTTCTCCTGCGGGTGCAACGCTATGCAGCTGACTTGCTATAGCGTTGGCACAACATGGACTTGCAACGTTGGCGCACCGCTACTCTGCAACGCTGGAGCGGTGCGGGCGCTGCTCCGCTGGAGCGCGGTCGACCATGCTGCGCTGGAGGTCGAACAGCAGCCTAGCTAGCTCTAATGTAGTCTATGTTACCAATGTTGTTGTATAACCATTGTTGTCAATCTTTGCTAGTGAAACTCTTGCAAAATCTCCCCGTGAATGTGCAAGCAGAGAACACACAAACAAACGACAAAGAAACACAGAGATCACACGAGCACCCCTGCCTAGCTCGCAGCCTAGCTCCCGTTGCAAAAGTTATGTCCGCAGCGCCACCCACTTAGGAGCATGAGGAACAAAAGACAAGTGTAGCCGCCCGTTAGATCACTTACTCGGGACGCATGTGGCAGCGCCGTGTCAGAGGTCTACTGGTGATCCCCGATTGATCCTAGGGAAGGGTTACAGGCATGTTGGCCTGGGGGGTTATGGGCGCACTGACCCGCTACTTAATAAGCCCTTTTATCCCAGTGGTTTAGTGGCTGGGATTCTGACATAGTATCAGAGCGAAGGTCTCAGGTTCGAATCCCGTAGTGTGCACTTCGGGCATCCCAGTGCGGGGGGGTGTCAGAGGTCTGCTGGTGATCCCCGATTGATCCTAGGGAAGGGTTACAGGCACGTTGGCCTGGGGGGTTATGGACGCACTGACCCGCTACTTAACAAACCCTTTTATCGCAGTGGTCTAGTGGTTGGGATTCTGACACGCCGATGAGGCGACGCCCTTGCTTGAATCCCCACGGACAGATACAAAAGTAATCGCCCTCGTTGTTGTTGGTGCACGTGCTTTTGAGACGTCTCAAAAACAACCTTTTTTCACGTGCTTACTTGGGACGCATGTGGTAGCGCCAGAAGGGCGACGCCCTTGCTTGAATCTGCAGGGTTTTTTTTAGAATTCTCAAGAATTCCCAAGGATTCAAGTTCATAGTGGAGTTGCTGCAACTGAAATTCGTTGGGTTCAAGAATACCCTGCAGTTCATACCCTGAAGCCTGAAGGGATTTAGGTTCATAGTGGAGTAGCTAGCTGCAAGCCTGAAGAGAACGTTTAAGCAACTTACTGGGGACGCATGTGAGAGCGCCAGAGGGGCGGCGCCCTTGCTTGAATCCCCACGGACAGATGCAAAAGTAGTCGCCCTCGTTGTTGATGCACGTGCCGACCGCACATGGATTGCTGTCCTGCATGCTGCATGCGTCATCTGCAGGGGGCGAGTGGGGGAGGGGCGGAGGGAGGGGAAGATGGGCAGGTGGGATGGGGAGGGATGGGGGGGAAAGGGGCAGAGGCGAGGGTGTGAGGTTGAGGGAGGAAGAGATGTTTTAGGCGTGCCTATAGCTAACAGGACAGGAGGGACAGTAGGGTAGGGGAAGGAATTGGGGGAAGTAGGGCAGGCAGGTGATGGTGATGATGGGGGATGGTGATGATGGGGGGTGGTGATAATGGGGGATGATGATGATGGGGGATGGTGATGATGGGGGATGGTAATGATGGAGAGTGGTGATGATGGGGGATGGTGATGATGGGGGGTGGTGATGATGGGGGGTGGTGATGATAGGGAATGGTGATGATGGGGGATGGTGATGATGGGGGATGGTAATGATGGGGGATGATGTCGATGGGGGATGATGACGATGGGGGATGATGCTGATGCAACCCAACCAGCTGCACAGTGCAGTCTCTGACGCACCACTCACTCACCAAACACAAAACCACACAATCAGAGGCCACACCCATGCACCGCCATTCACCAACCACACAATCACTCTCGTTTGAGTGCCACTCACCAAACACACACGTCTCGCGGTTGCCTATGTCAAGAGCGGGAATGAAGGGAGGATACAGACACGCGCATGTGTAGCCGTACTCTCCTCCCACTGCACACACAGCTCCCCCACAGGGATTCTGCTCTGACATGCACGGCGTGGGTTCTGGTGTGGGGGGGAAGGGGGGATGGGGTGGGGGAGAGGACTTGTGAGGCGCCTCAAAAGAGCAGGAATGAAGGGAGGATACAGACAAGACACGCGCATGGGTTGCCGTACTCGCCTCCCACCGCACATGTAGCCCCCCCACAGGGATTCTGCTGCAACAGGCATGGCGTGGGTTCTGGCGTGTGGGGGGAGAGGGAGGGGGGTCAAGGGAGGGGGGATGGGATGGGGGAGAGGACTTGTGAGGCGCCTCAAAAGCGCGGATACATGCATGCACGTGCATGTGAGTCGCCGTTTTCTGCGTCTTCACATCACTATACCACCTCCCCCATATTGGAAGGAGGAAGGGAAGGTGGGGATGGTGGGGTGAGGGGTGAGGAGCGCTTCCAGGCACGTGCATGTGAGTCACTGTTTTCTGTGTCCTCACAGGTACCACCTACCCCGTATTGGTTCTGCAGCGACAGGCACAGAGAGGGCGCTGGTGACCGGGGAAGGGAGAAAGGGGGGGTGGTGGGTGGTGAGGGGTGAGGAGCGGTTCCAGGCACGTGCATGTGAGTCGCCGTTTTCTGTGTCTTCACATGTGCCGCCCCACATGGACTTGTCTAGACAGGTGGGCTGCTTATGTAGTCACCGCCTCCTATGTCCTCACATGTGCCTTCCCCACATGGATTCTGCTGCGATAGGCACATAGAGGATGCTTGAGTGGGGCGGGAAGGGGAGCGGGAAGGGGAGAGAGAGATGACTTGTGAAGCGCTTTAAAAGAGAAAGTGCGGGCACATGCATGTGTAGCAGCGAGTGCTCAAATCTGGTTTCTGAGATTTGTTTTTTGATATCTGTTTTTTTAGAATTCTTATAAAACATATTCGAACTGCAAACACGTGCATGTGTAGCAGCGAGTGTTGTAATCTCATTGCCAATGCACAACGCATGTGTGCAAGTGCATGTGTGCATGTATGCATGTGTGCATGTGTGCACATGTGCATGTGTGCATGTATGCACGTATGCATGTGTGCATGTATGGATGTGTGCATGTGTGCACGTGTGCATGTGTACACGTGTGCATGTGTGCATGTGTGCACTGCAGATAAGCAAGGTTCGCTCACTCTTAACGATGGGGTAGATGGCCGGCACAGAGTGAATGCCACAGATGCCAATGCCTCCCCCAAAGGCCATTTGCATGTAGCCCTGCACGCAGAGCGAGATGAGAGAGCAATGCGCAGCGAGTAGGGCAGAGAAGGGAAGAGAGGAGGGAAGGCGAGAGGAGGAAAAAGTGATGGAGGAAAGGAGGGAAGAGGGGAGGGAAGATAGAAGGGGAAGAAGGAAGGGAAGAGGGGAGGGAATAGCGGAGGGAAGAGAGAGGGGACAGGCAAAGGCATGCAAAAAACCACAATCGGTTGCGACCTTGCTGGTGAGGCGCCTGCATGCATCCCACGTGCATGCATCCCACGTGCATGCATGCATCCCACCTGCATGCATCCCACGTGCATGCATGCATCCCACCTGCATGCATCCCACCTGCATGCATGCATCCCACCTGCATGCCCCAGCCAGCCCCCCAGGGGTTGCGGAGGATCCAGAAGGCGCCCTTAGGCGAGATGCTGCCTGGAATGGATACCGCCGCACTGTGACCCACCACCCCTTTTGACACGTCTCAACAAAACATGCCGTTTATCGCACCTGCATGCCCCAGGTGGCTCCCCAGGAGTTGCGGAGGATCCAGTAGGCGCCCTCAGCCGTGATGCTGTAGCCCATCACCAGCACGCTGTGATCCACCACTCCTGCCGCTGCACACCCTGCGTCGTTGTATATGCCCTGGGGTGGAGGGAGAGGGAGCACGGTGGAGGGAGAGGGAGCACGGTGGAGGGAGAGGGAGCACGGTGGAGGGAGAGAGAAGTGGAGGGGTTGGAAAGGGGAAAGAGGAGGAGAGTGCAATGCATGGTACCTCACTCACGCCACCCCATCACCACCACACCGTGATCCAACACTAATGCTGCTGCACACCCTGCGTCGCTGCATCATCACCCCCGCCCGCCACTGTGCACCATGGGTCGCTGTATGTGCCCTGGGGTGGAGGGAGAGGTGGAGGGAAAGACATGGAAGGGAGAGGTGGAGGGAGAAGAAAAATGGTGAGTGCCGTGCAGTGCAATGCAGTGCAGAGCAGTGCAGTGCAGAGCAGTGCTGTGCAGTGCAGTGCAGTGCAGAGCAGTGCAGTGCAGAGCAGTGCCGTGCAGTGTAGTGCAGTGCAGTGCAGTGCAGTGCAGTGCAGTGCCGTGCAGTGCCGTGCAAGCCATGGTAGGTTAACTCTCACCCCTTCGTCACCAGCACGCTGTGATCCACCATCCCTGTTGCTGCACACCCTGCATCACTATTTATGCCCTGAGGGGGGCGGTTCAATGCGGTACCTCTAACACCGCCCCATCAACAGTAGCTGTGATCCAGCAGTGATGAGTCTACTAGAAAATAGGCTCATCATGAGAATCGATTTTTATCTGGATTCTAACAAAAAAAAACAGAAAATAGGCTCGTCGTGAGCGCAGTGCAATGTGTGGTACTTCTCACACCAACCCCCCCCCTGTCACCAGCACTCTGCATTCCATCACTGCACACCCTGCATCATCGCTGTACATGTCCTGCATCATCATCGCTGTACATGTCCTGCATCATCATCGCTGTCTGTACATGCCCTGCATTCATCATCGCTGCATAAAAAAGGTGTTTCCCTTACATCTGTGTACGTCTGGAAGGAGGGGTAGGAGCCTCGCACGAATGCAATGGTGGGCTGAGCCTGCGACAGGGGAGCGGAGAAGGGAAGAGAGAAGACGAGATAAGGACTGGGCGGAGGAGGGGAAACAGCAAAGCAAAAGCTACAGCAGACTCTCGCTGACTGAGCAGTACCAAACTATGTGCACAAATCCAATGCATGCACGCATGTATCCTGCACTGCTGCCCGCCCGCTGCACTGCCACCATCATCGGAACCACTGCAGCAAATCAGCACCCTGTGTGTCTTGTGTACAAGCTTACGTTGACAGCCAGGAGAAGACGCAGCCAGGCATAGAAGATGACTGCTTGTGAAAATCCCGTGTGGTAACCGGATTGGACTCATAGGCTTACGTTCACTGCGAGGAGAAGACGCAACCAGCCGTAGAAGATGAGTGCTTGTGAGAATACTGTGTGGTAACGGGATTTGATTTTTAGGCTTACGTTCACTGCGAGCCGCAGACCCAGCCAGCCATAGAAGGTAACTGCTTGTGAAAATACTGTGTGGTAACGGGTTTTGTTTTTCGGGCTTACATTGACAACGAGGAGCAGACCCAGCCAGCCGTAGTAGTCCACCTGGTAATACCCCCTGATGCCTATGATCGTTGCCTTCTACTCCGCCTGGGGGGAGAAACATGGCATGGGCACATGGGCATGAGCATGGGTGTGTGGGCGCGGGTGCGAGCATGGGTGCGAGGGTGGGTTGTACTCGATCAACCAGACTCTACGACGGCACAAGCGGTGCGACGGCACATGTGGTGCGACGGCACATGCGGTGCGACGACACATGCGGTGCTACATACAACACATGTTGTACGACCGTGCAACATTCTGTCATCTTCGTCGAAGCATTTCGGAAAACATTGCCTCAAACAAGGCTTGGACGGGCAAAAGTGCCCCACCCATGAATGGCACTCAACTGCTTTATGATTGACATGGGTGCATGAGCAGGGTGACTTTTGAGTCGACTCAAGTCAAAAGTGCCCCACCCATGAATGGCACCCAACTGCTTTATGATTGACATGGGTGCATGAGCAGGGACGCATGGCAGGAGCACATGGGCATGTGAGCATGGCACAAAAGCACGTGACAAAACTTGAGCAAGGGTACAAGAGCGTGTGACTATCCACGGGCAAACATCGTCCCCGACTGTTCGACCTCCTCAAAGCGTACCTTCCCCAATTGTACCCCCCCCAGGCGTACCTCCCCCAGGCGTACCTCCCCCATCCCAGGCGTACCTCCCCCAGGCGTGCCTCCCCCAGCCGTACCTCCCCCAGGCGTACCTCCCCCAGCCGTACCTCCCCCAGCCGTACCTTGGCGTGTTTGCATTTGCCGTTCTTCTGCTTGTACGCGTACCCAGCGTGGGTCGCAAGCCCCCCCCACTCCTGTGTGGCGGCCACCATGTAGTCCAGTGCTGTCGTCGGCCACGCGCCCGCAGCACAGCTGCTGTTCCTGCCTTTCCTGCTGCAGTCCAGTACCTAAAGGGGTGGGGGTTGAGTGGGGGGAGAAAGAAGAGAAGAGCGCGGAGGCAATGAGATGCTGTGAGTGAGTGAGGCTGCCCCCACTGTACTGTAGTGTGGCATGGCATGGCATCCACCGTGTAGTCCAGCTCCTGAGGAGCAACATTACATTGTGGCGGAGGGAACAGCTGGGTGGCAAGCCCCCCCCACTGCGGAGATAAATGCTGCAACGGGAGCTAGACTGCGGGCTAGACACGTGTGCTCGTGTGATCTCTGCGTTCGTTAGTCCTTGGTGGTTTTCCTTGTGCACACACTACTTGCTAGTTCACGGGGAAAGTTGGCAAGAGTTTCACTAGGAAAAGTTCAGAACAATGATACAATGAAGTTGGCATAGCAAGACTACATCAGAGCAAGCATTCAGGTCGGCCAACTGCCAGCGCAGCGCGATCGACCGCGTTCCAGCACGACTTGGTCGACCGTGCTCCAGCAAGGCAAGGTCGATGGTGTGCCGACGTCGCAGGTTGACGGCGTGCCAGCGTTGCTCACGCAGGACAGCAGTGCATCCGCTTCGCAGGTGCACGCAAATGATTGGCGTGCAGTATCTCGTCACCTGCACAGTGCACAACACCACGTCAACCTCGAGCTGACGACTGCCTCTGATCGGCCACGTCGACCTCGGGATACCACCACCGAGGTCGGGCTCGCCAACTTCGCCTGGGCGACCGTCGCACTCCTCCGCAGCACTTCGTCACCCAAGTAACCTGGTCGACCGGGCAACCACGTCGACCAGCAGCTTCGGTACGTGCCCGTCGACCTCCCAAGTCGACGACCACCTCCATCGGTCGACCTCCTCCAGGTCGACGTCCCTTCTGGTCGACCAGCTCCGCGTCGACCAGCACAGTCGTCGGCCGACCACCCACGTCGACCACACGAAGTTGGCATCACGAAGTTGACGCCCCGCTACTCGACGCCCAGCTGCTCGGCGTCCTGAGTCGACGTCGACGTCGGCCCCTCCTTCGTCGACCACCAGGTCCAGTCGACCACCCACAGGTCGACCAGCGGTCCATCAGCCGACCACCGAAGTCGGCTTCCCCAAGTTGACGTCATCCGCAGGTCGACTCCCAAGTCGACCTCCCCAAAGTCGGCGCCACCCTAAGGTCGGCGCCCGTGCAGTGGTCCTCGTGCAGGTCGACCTCCTCGTCAACCAACTCGCCCACTGCTGTAGGTCGGCTGTTCCCCTCACACTCGACCACGATGTCGGCTCCGCCCAAGCGAGGACGGGGCCAACACACAACTCCCGTTGACACTCCCCTGCCGCGTTCACGCTTGGGTCCCCAGCCCACACGGCAGTACAGCTCCGAGAATAGCCCGTCGGCGACCGTGATAGCCGACTTGTTGTCCACTCGCAGGAAAGTCGGCTTCCCGGCGTCCAACTGCCGGAATTCGGCGAGAAGGAAGCGAAGGCGGCGTCCCTCCTTGCCAGCTTCAGTGGCCGCCACGTGCTCCGACTCGGTCGACGACAACGTCGCGCACTTGATGCGCTGGCTCGACCAAGAGACTGCAGCCCCTCCGTAGATGAACACGTAGCCGCCCGTGCTCGTCTTGTTCTGCTTGTCACCGGCGTCGTCGGCGTCCACGTAGCCGACCAGCTCCAGCGACTCAGGTCCACCGCCAAATTCCAGGGCGGTGTCACGCGTGTTGGCGAGGTAGGCGAGGCAGCGGTCGATCTCGCGTCAGTGCTGGTCGCTCCTCACCGTGAGGCCGTTCCCCAGCTTGCTGCAGGCGAAGGCGATGTCTGGCCTTGTCGTCGTCGCCGCGAGCTGCAGCGAGCCGACCTTCTGCCGGTACTCCTCCTCTTGCCGTTCCTGCGCCTCCTCGTCATTGAAGGTGAGCTCGGCGTAGGCGCCGACCGAGACCGGCGTCTTTGGGGTGCGCCCTGTCTGCACCTCGTCGATGAAGCGCCTACGCAGCTTGTTGGGCTGAGAAATAGCTCCACTGGGCTCACTGCTGTGATGGCCCATGATGAATCTGGGTTGGGGAGTGAAAAGTGGAGGGGAGGGAGGGGGGAGGAAGGGGCGGAGCGGAGGGAAGGGAGAAGTGGACGGGGAGGGGGAAAAGAGGAGAAGGGCTGAGAGAAGGTTCTTTTGTGAGTAACAACACTGAGTAACGCTGGGGGGAATCCATGGAGGGCGTCGAGTGAGCCACTAACGCGTACGCCATTTCTACCGCGCTCACTGCTGTGATGGCCCATGATGACCCTGGGGTGGGGAGTGAGAGGGGGAGGGGGAGGGGAAGGGAAGAGGGAGGGGAGCGGGAGGTGGATGGATGGGGAGGGGAGGGGAAAAGAGGAGAAGGGCTGAGATATAGTTCCTCATTGCGTGTGCCCGCTCGCTCCCTCGCGCATGCCAGCGCGTGTCCGTTCCGAGGCATCGCGCACGCATTCCACATGGATTTGCCTTTCGAGAGCTCTCGAAAAGCCACTATCGCGTACGCCATTTCCACCGCGCTCACAGCACACCGGTTACCGCACCAGCCATGCAAGAGGGCATGGCACCTACTGCTGCACGTCGTTATCGCCGTCGTCCACGTCGGCCAAGCGCACCTGGCCGATTGCGACGGAGCACCGGTTGAAGGCCGGATAGTGCAGCGCCTTCGTCAGGAAGTCGGCCGGCTGCTCAACGGTTGGGATGTACTGCAGCGAGAACTTCCTGCGCTTCACCATGTGCTGCAGCCAGGCCTGTCGCCGCTCCATGTGCTTGAGGTTGCCTGTCAGCCCCATGCCCTCGGCGACCGTGATAGCCGACTTGTTCTCCACTCGCAGGACAGTCGGCTTCCCGGCGTCCAGCTGCCGGAATTCGGCGAGAAGGAAGCGAAGGCGGCGTCCCTCCTTGCCAGCTTCAGTGGCCGCCACGTACTCCGACTCGGTCGACGACAACATCGCGCACTTGATGCGCTGGCTCGACCAGGAGACTGCAGCCCCTCCGTAGACGAACACGTAGCCGCCCGTGCTCGTCCTCTTCTGCTTGTCACCGGCGTCGTCACCGCCATTTGCCTTCGGAGCGCAGCGCGAGAAAGGGCTCGAGGCGAGGGTCCTCGACCCAGTTGCGACCTTTCGTGAAAAGGTCGGTTGCGACCTCCCCCGTCCTCGCGTCATAAAGGGTGCTGATAAACCGGAAGAGCCGGAACGCGTACTTGGGAGCCACGGCCACCGCGGGATTTGCGCTGCACCGATACCTCTGGGCTGGTCGTACCGCGGGGGAGGGGGAGGAAGGGTAACGGGAGGGAGAGGGGAGGAAGACGGGTGAACTTCCGAGGCGCCTCAATGGTCGGGATTTGCGCTGTATCGATACCTCTGGGCTGGTACGGGGCCACACGGGGAGGGAGCGAGAGGAAGGGACTTGGCGGTTGCTGCTTTTATGAAACATGATGAGAAGGGCGATTGGACTTTCTAATGGACCCAGAGGTGCATGGGAAGGATGGAGGACGGGGAGGAAAGGGAAGGGAAGGAAAGGGGGGAGGGAGTTGGAGGTTGCTGCGATATCATGATGGGAAGGGCGATTGGCCTCTCTTATCGACTCAGAGGTCGCAACGAAAGGATGGAGGACGGGGAGGAAGGGGAGGAAGGGGGCCGGGGAGCCTGAGTGTTGCCTGGGATGCGCGAGTCGCGATCGGACAAGGGAAGAAAACGGAAGGCAAGGACGGTGGAAGGACGGGCCGACGCATCAACACTGACCTGCGACAGCGACGTTGCCATTCGCGAGCATGCTCGGCGAGAAGCACGGCGACACAAGTTGTGAGTCGACTCAAAAGTCAACTCGACGCAAGACTGACCTGCGACGGCGACGCCGCCACTCGCGAGCAGCGCAGCGAGAAGCACGGCAATCAGCGCCGCGTAGCACGCCGCCTGTCGGGACGCGAAGTCCCCGCGGCGCGAGGCGGCGCGGGGGATTGTCTGCATCGCGTTTGATTTGAGATTTGCAGTGCTCTTGAGCCGCCGCCGCCGCCGCCGCGTGCGCGCAACAAACCGCCGTGGATGCCGCGCTGCGGCTATGCGCACAGAATGTTCACTACTAGTAATCTCGGCGCACTCGATACTAGTCGGCGCTGCTGCCTCGGAGGTGAATTTTGGACCACCTCAATAGTCCCGGACGCAGAAGATTGTGACAATCGACTCGAAAACACACCTGGACGCGGCAAATCTGAGGCGCTTCGAAATCTGAGCCGCCTGGGTGGGGTATCTCGTGACGAGCCTAGAAATATGGGACCGGCGCTTGGATGCAATCTTGTGCTTTAGCCATCATCTTTACCTCCGAGTTACCCACCCTCCGAGTCCCTCTCACACACTCCCCATTGTTACCCACCCTCTCCTCCCCCTCCCCTTCCCCCTGCCCCTCCCCCCGCCCCTGCCCCTACCCGGCTGCTCCTAGCAGTGTCATTTCATCCATGTGATGGGTGTGTTGGTCACCATCCATTGTCGACAGTCGACACCTCCTAGTATTGATGACCAAGCACGGTGCTTCGCTGGCCTGCTCGTCATCATTGCCAACGTGTACGGCCTCTGCACCGGCAGCTACAACACGTGCGGTAGAAGCGAGGTTATAACGCGTATGGATGCTGTGTGGCATCTGAGCTAGCCTGCTTGTCATCGTTGCCAACGTTGGCTACGACCTACATCGGAGTCTGTATCGTTAGCTACAATAGGTGCGACAGAAACTAAGTCCACAACACGTATGGAGGGGTTTCTCTGGTTTCTGGAGCACCTGCACTGGTCTGCTTGTCACATCATTGCTGATGTTGGCTACGGCCACTGCACCGTTGCACCACATGTTCGTGTTCAATCAAACCCTGGAGCTTCGTCGTGAACACAATTATCAGAAAGCTACGTGAATGGCTCGAGAGAAGGAAGTGCACATGGCCCTGAATCCTGATTTTCAGGCGTTATT